GATACGGGAGGGGCGTGGCTTGAGGAGTGGGCGGGGCAGTGCGAGGTGTGGGCATGGCTGGTGTGGGCTGACCAGGTGAGACATGGAGGACAGAGGTTGAGGACAGCCCTGGGGGTGCAGCAGGAAGGAACATCGGGCTGGCGATGGTCCCCAAACTTCACCCTTCGGGGGGCCCAAACCCCGCCCCCAGGCCTCCCTGGGGTTCCCTGGCACTCATTCTCCACCCAGGCCTCACACTTCCAACCCCTACAGAACCCCAACTCTGCCCCGACCTGCCCACAACCTCCACCCCATCACCTGGCCTCAGATGAGGGAGGGACCTTCCTTCACCATCCGCTCACCCTTCTTCCTTACGCCCAGGTCCCAGGTTATCTCAGATCCCACCTCAGCCCCCCAAATCCCCGACCCCAACCCTTCACACCCACCCCTACACTCCCTGATCCATTGCACCAGGCCCAGCCCCCAGGACCCGCAAACTCCAGCCCCCCATGTAACCCAAATGACAGAACCCACCCTGCTGCAGCCTCTAGGGGGTTGGGGGCGTCCAGACCCGGCTGGGAGCCCTCTCGAGGGCGGTGCTGACAGAAGGAGGTGGACTTGGGGCTGGAGACCCCAGAGGAGGGACAAGGGCCACCTCCACTTAGGATCAGACCCCACGGATCCACTTCCGCAGCGGTGTGGGTACAACGGCGGTTGCTCAGACATTCTGCAAAATGCCCAGGAGAAGATTCTGTGCAAATCAGCAGCTCCCAGGAGCTGAAGGGCCCCGCAGACGCCGCCGTGAATGTGGAACGCACCCAAGCGCGAGCTGGGTTGTCTTTCTGCAGAGCCTTTGTTTGTTCGAGATGAGCCACAGGCCACATGGCAGACACCCAGGCTTCCACGCCCGCCACACAGACAGGCCAAGTGGCTGGCGTCCATATGCATGCACGTATCAGCAGACACAGATTTGACCCACGTGTCAGACACACAGCCACAGCCACAGAGCAGCCAGAAGAGGTTCGCTGGGCTCCCGACCGTGTGCACTGCAGATCCAAGACCATGGGGACACAGGACAGCCCGTGCAAAGGTCCTGAGGCAGGGAAAATGTGCAGGAGCATTGACTTGCAAAGAAGCGGGAGGGAGGAGGGAGGAGGCCGGGTAGAAAGCAACCTGTATGTCACAGAGGGGTGACCGCAGAGACATCGCAGAAGCACAGTGAACACCAGCTGGGGTGCAGAAGGATAAAGTGGGGGTCCACAGGTCCTGCCACACACACACGCACACGCAGTGGTCTGGCAGGGACACAGCTACACCATTCCCAGGCCTGGCCGCCATCTGGCCTGCAGCTGGCACGGCCTCCTCGAGCCAGGGCTGCCTCACCTGCTCCCCTGCTTGGGACCAGCTGGGGGCTCCAGGCCTCAGGTCACAGCTCAACGGCCAACTGAGACCCAAGGGCGGAAATTGAAGCCTCCAGGGGGACTAGAGTTCCTACAACCTCATCCTAAGGCTGGTGTCCACTCCTGCCCTCTGCTCTGCGTCCCATTCCTGTCCCGTGGATTTGCATGTTCTGGACATCTCCTTTGTGTCCCACGCCACGTGGCCTTGGTGTCTGGCTCTGTCATTTACTGTCCCATCTCCAAGGTTCATCCAGGATGCAGTGCGTGTGAGCGCTCCATGCCTCTTCGCGACTGAGTAATATTCCACCGCGTGGAGGCCCCTGTCGTCTGTCTGTCCCTCCCTCGCTGGCGGGCGTGTGGCTGCGTCCACCTTCAGCTGCCATGAGTGTCCAGGGCGAGGCCTCGCTTCAGTCTCTGTTTTCAGTTCTGTCAGGCAGAATCCCAGGAGTGCAGTCTCTGGCTCGCTGTCAGGCATTTTTTCCTGTCCTTGCGATCAGTCAGTCCTTCAGTGAAATGTCAGCTCTCCAGGGAGGATGGCGGCCTGGTGGCCGGCCGTGTCAGAGCCTTTCGGTTTTGTTTTTTTATTTTTGACACAAGGTCCAACTCGGCAGCTCAGGCTTCCTGGAACTTGCTGTCCTCCTGCACGTGAGGCCACCGCACCTGGCTGGTTATACATATACATATATGTGAACGGTTGTCACAGCTCCAAAACGGAAACAGCCCAGAGGCCCCAACAACAGCTGGACAGAGATACAACAATGACATAGTCACCCCGTGGAATGCTATACAGCAAGGAAAAAGACTGGCTTGCCACCATGAGCCTTCCATGCTGGATGTCACCAACACAGTGGGGCCACAGATGTGTGAAGACTTCATTCATCAACACACCTGGCTGGGTTATTTTAAAGCGAACTGAAGCCGTCAATGGACAGAGGTGTCGGGTTCAGGGCTACCTCTGGAGGGTGACAAAGTGACAAGGAACATGGAGATCCCCCCCCTCCAAAAAAATGTGGTGTCCTCACACCAGACACAGAGAGGAGCAATGGTCAGGGTCACAGTGGGGGAGATGACGTCTCTGTCTTAGTAAGAACAGAAGCCAGAACAGTCTAGGATGTTCTAGAACCTTCCGGAACATTTGGAAAGTTCTAGAATGTTCTGGAATGTGCCAGGTGGCCATGACACAGAAAGGCCCGAAAACGCTCCGGGCATGGCACTGGGGGCCTTGGTGGCTTCCGAGGGAAGCGGGGGGCCGGGAGCGAGGGTGACGACAGACAGACGTACTGACAGCAGCCGTCTCGGTGGGGCGTGCGAGGCAGCTGTGACCAGGACGCCCAGCCTGTCACATCTGGAAGGAAGGCCATTTATCACAGCAATCATCGCACAAGCAAACAAGCCACCGCTTAACCGTCTACATGACAAATGCTGGGGCCTCGGTGACATCGCTGAGCCTCGCGGAGCTGGGGGACCCTGGGCAGGACGCTCAGGGCGGAGGGGACAGTCTGCCGGGGTCCCAGAGGGGAGGGACGTCAGGGGGACCTGGGTGACGCCCCCCATCAAAAGGGACGGTGACAGTCTCCATTGTCCCCCGATGGCGTTCGCTGTCTTTTTTTTTTTTTGGTGGAAGTGGGATTCGAACTCAGGGCCAACATCTTGAACTGTGTCCACTGGGTGCCTGCTGGACGCTGGGGACACTCACGGCCCCCTCTCTTCCCCGGGCTGCGTCTCTGTCCTTGTCGTTAGGGAACCGGGATGGCCAGTTCCCATGGCAACTCCGTGCTACCCGGCCACATGGGTGCTCCTGCTGGTTGCCATGACGCCAACCACCCACCCATCACCACTGTCGCCATTGTCCCCACCACTTCCTGGTCCGTGTGCAGCGGCAGAGGAAGATGGAGGTGGGCAGAGCCTTGGGGACGGAGGACGAGACTGAGGGTCAGGAGTCACAGCCAGGCTGTCCTCAGCCCGTGTGGCCAGTGGGGCCAGGGCTGGGTCCTGGGCAGAGTGGCCTCGGGTCTTTGGGTAGCATCTGGGGACCATGATGGTCACTTCCTCTGCATCCGCGTTTCTGGGCACCAAGGTCGTGATGGACCAGGGCCCAGTGGCCGGGGACCAAGACAGGCTGTGAATTTGTGAGTGAGGGCAAAAGGCCCAGTGACAGCCACCGAAGTGACATAAGGTTTAAAAAATGACCCAAGGGCTGGACGCCATTTTGGAGATGGGGAGGGTCTCGGGAATTATTTTACCCAGGCTGGCCTCGAACCGCGATCCTCCAGATCTCAGCTTCCTAAGTAGCCGGGATTACAACCCCAGAACAAGGCCCATATCTGCGGTCACACTTGCTCCAGTCCACATGGAACTGGACCCCGAGGGCAGCTGGGACCTCTGCGGTTGCCGTGGAAACAGTCACGGGCCTATGGGATGCGTGGGGATGCTGGGGAGGCAGAGGGGACGAGGGTCAGGTGAGTGGACGCTGGAGGCCTGGACCACAACCCTGCTGGTTATGCTTCCCGGGCAGCTGGGGTGACAGGCGTGCACCACTGCGCCCAGCTTTTATCGGTTGAGATGGGGTCTCCAGAAGTTTTTGTCTGGGCTGGCCTCCAATGGTGGTCCTCCCAATCTCTGCCTCCCGAGAGCTGGGATTACAGAAGTGCCCCTCCATGTCTGCCTTAATTAATTAATTGTTTAAGATAACTGATTTAAGTTCATAAAAAAAGAATAAAGAGTAACTCAGAAGTGATGATTTAGTGACTGTTAGCAAAGGCGTGCTAGAGTGTGGGTGACAGAGGTGACATTGCCACCAAGCCGAGGGTGAAAGACCCCAGCTCCTGTCTCCTTCCATCTCCGCCAGCCGTCCCTCTGAAGGACGGAGCCCAGTGGCAGGCAGGGGTCCCCAAGGGGCCGATCCCCAGCCCACGGCCTATCTGTGACTCCTTTGTCACCCACTGGAACCACGGTGTCCCTCGTCCCAGCCCGGGAATGTCCTCTGTGAGTCACAGATGCCAGCTCCAGGAGCATGACCGGACAGCTCGGGGGACACTGTCGGTTCGCTGAATCTTTGCGTTTTAATTTTTGCCACGTGGCAATGAAATGACGCAGAATGGGGACTTGGGGGGTGGCTTGGTGACAGGGCTTAAGGTCTGGGTTCCAACCCTGGCTCCAGAAAGAAGGACACGACACGGACAGAACAGAGGGACAAGGTCCAGGGAGGGGACCCTGCCGCCATGTTAGGGGTGTGGATTGGGGAACCGGGGTGGGACGTTCTGGCCGCACTCAGGCTCCCCGCGCGGACAGACAGACAGACAGAAGGCCAGGCGATGACACACGGTTTATTCCTTTCCCCCATGGAGTAGCTGCCACCCGCATCCCGGGGGGGACCGGGTCTCCAGAGAGAAGGACAGGAAGAAGCGGGAGCCCCAGCAAAAGTGGGGGGCTCCCCATGGCCTCAGCCCCCCACCCCGCTCCCAGAGACGTCTGGCGGAGAGAAAGGGGAAAGGGGACACGAGACAGGCTCAAATACCCAGAAAGCCACACGACAGAAGAAAAAGGGACAAAGCCCCAAAGAAAGAGGGACAGGCGGAGGAAGCCAGGCCTCGTCCACCCTCCTGCCGTGGCCAGGCATGGTGTCCCCAGGACTGAGGGACAGGACGAGGGAGAAGGGGAAAAGCTGGGGTGGAGGGGACAGCTGAGGGACCTACAGCTTGGTGAGGTCCAGTCTGAGCTTGTAGGGAGGGGGACTGTCCTCGTAGGCGGGCGACGGGGGTGGGTACAGAGGCCAGTCCGGCTCCACCATGAAGCCCTTGTGCTGCTCCAGAGTCAGGGGCTGTGGGGACAGGGACGGGGACACGGCCCTGCTTGCTTGCTGGGGGAGGGGGGCGGGGGACACTGGGCAGCTCTCATGGTGCAAAAAAACCGCCCTCCATATGCCGGCCTCCCTGAGGCAAGGTGGCCGCCCTCAATTTGGGTCCCCCTGGCCAGGGACCCACCTACCTGGAACTTGACGTGGTGGCCAGGCGTGGTGACCAGTGTGGAGCAGCTCAGACACAGCGTGACCAACACGGACAGGAAGAGGCAGCCGGCCAGGATCCAGCGGGGCAGCCCCGAGCGCCTGTCCCCACAGTGACGCTCAGCTGCCCCGCCGAGACCCGGGCTCGGGTCCCTCCCGCCGTCCACCCCAGGGCCGGCCACGCACCGCGACATGCAGCTGAGGAAGTCATTGTCCTGGGGCTCCTCGGCGTCCACCTTGGCCTTGCTGCTGGTCCGCACGCGGATCTTGGCCTTCCTCACCTTGTCCAGGGGGCCGACGCGGTCTGAAGGATAAGCGTCCGCTTAGGGGACCCCAGACCCTCGCGCCAGAGTGGCCACGCACGGGGTGAGCAGGCCAGGGCGTGGGGCGACGGGGTTGTCACATCGGCCACGGACCCCGAGGACCATCTGCAGGCTGCCTGTGGCAGTGTCCCCGGGGGCCAGCTCTCAGGGGCCAGCCTTACCCACATGCACCTCCAAGGCGTCAGGGTGGGACCCCCGCCAGGTCACCTCCACACGCTGCAGACGGCCCTCCTGGAAGCCGAGACTCTCCACCACAGGCTGGGTCTGAGCAAAACAGGGGGCACCGTTCCACAGGGGGACGGGTGGGAGGCCCCATCCCATGGACGGTGATGCCAGGGGTGACACCCCTGCCCTCGATGGCCCCTGCCTTAACCCCATCCTTTAGCTGTCTAAGTAGACAGGGCAACACACCGACTGACTGAGGGGCGACTGACTGACTACACGACCTGGCCTGGACCAGAGTATAAACCCCAGGTCGGTTCAAAGCCCAGCGGGACTGTGCCTGGACCCTTGGACGTCCACCCTGTGGCGTGCCTGGAAATGAAGCCATCACAGAGGAAAGCTGTCCGGGCAGTGGAGTGAGACGGGGAGCTCCTGGATCCAGCCATGCCTGAAGCAGCCCACCTTCTCACTCCGCCCGCCCACCCGTCACGCTGGCCCGGCCCCTGCCGCAGCTGTCACCTGGAAGACCACCACCTTCCCATTGCCAGTCTGCAGGTAATATGTCCAGGTGGAGGACACGAAACCCTGGGCCGAGTTCACCAGGTCATTGCAGAGAGTGGAGAACAAGTCCAGGAGGGGCAGAGCCCCGCTGGGCGCGTCCACGACCTTTCTCTGGAGAGCAAAGAGAAATCAACGAGGTGGGGCAGGAGGTGACAGAAATCAACCGATGGCAGGAGGTGACACAACGCGCCATGTTTCAGTCTGGCTAAGTCCTTGTGCCTGTGTGCCCCTGGGGAAGTAGACTGTCTTCTCTGAGCCCTGAAAAGAAGGTGACGGCCTTTTGGCCAGCTTCTGATGACCAGTGGCCACTTTGGCTAAAAGAAAAAAACCCTCTCTATTCTCATTCTTATTTTGACACACTCCAGTGGGATTGAGTGCAGGGCTTTGCTGGACAGGGCAAGCCGGGAGGGGACACGGAATAACACAGGTAAGGGGACTCTGGGGGGCAGCCCCAGCCCACAGGTCTCTGGCTGGGCCTCGTGACTTCCTGCGCCTCAGTGTCCCCGACGTGGCTGTGACATGTGGTGATTTCGGCTTCGGGGTTGTGTGCGTGTGTGCACTTAACCTCACTTCCCAGCCCCTCCAGGTGACAGTGGTCACCTGCGTGTCACCGGGACGGGGCAGCTCAGGCGGAGCTGAAGATTAAGCAGTTAAAGGACGGCCACAGCCTGGTGATGTCACTCTCGCCTCCCTCATGCAGCCTTAGCTGTGTCACCGGGCCAAGGCTGAGGGACACACGGGGGGGGGGGACACAGGCTGGGGACACCCACCTTCTGCTCCAGCAGCTCGGGCTCAGGGACCTGGCTCCAGCATCCCTCCCTGCAGGCCTGCTGCTCTGTGTCCTTCACGTAGGCCTCCACGCAGGCTGCAGGGGACCAGGGGACCCGGCGGGGGTGACCGGCCCTGCCCAGTCACCTTCCCCACCCCCACCCCACCCCAGCCGCCCAGCCGCCCGCCGGCCATGGCCTCACCTGCTTCACACTCGGTCTGGGTGGCATTGGGCTTGGGGCTCCTGGCCACAAAGTGACAGATGGAGAAGAGGCGGCAGCCCCGCTCACAAGCGCTGACCAGCACGGCCTGGTCCCCGGGGGACTCGGAGGGACCCTGCTGTCCCGCCTGGAGGAAGGGGACCCGGCTCAGGCAGAGGAGAGGGGGACTGGAAGCACCATGGGGGTCCCTCAAAGCCTAAAAATATTTCTGGAGGTTCTCAGAAGGAGGATGAGAGGGACTGACGACACCGGACAGACAGCCAGGGACCGGGTAGGGCCAAATGGCCCCTCTGCAGCTTCCAGGGGGACAGGGGTGGGAAGGGGGTGTCTCAGGCCCGAGGAAGGGTGCTCAGAGCAGGGTCTGTGACCCTGTGGATCAAACCCCGGGGGGCACCGGTCTGCGGGAAGAGGACGCAGAGGACAGTGAGGAGGGAGGTGGGGTTTGGGCACCCCAAGGTCCTCGCATAGCGGAGAGGGGGACCCAGAGGGGTGACATCAGGAGCTGGGGTCCCAGCCGCCTCTCCTGGGAGGACTCTGCACCCCAAGTCATCCCCCACCAGAGGGCCCCCCGTCCCTCCCCTTGGGGGTCACCTGCGAGGGTGCCGGGCCGGGGTCGCGCTGGCGACACCGCTGCTGGCAGCTCTGCGTGTCCCCGAGCTGCGGGGCGAAGGGGTCGCGGGGGGGCGGCGCGGGGGCGGCGGGAGGCGACACCAGCAGCAGCAGCAGCAGCAGCAGTGACGGCGTCATGGCCCTGACCGCAGCCATGGCGGGCCGAGCGCGGGGGGCGATGCGGTGGCGTTGGGGACCGGGCGCTGACGTCACCCGAGCGAGGCAGCCTGGGAAGGGGGGGTGGGGAGCAGCGCTGCGGCACTGGCGGGGTGGGGGGTGGGGGGTGGGGGGGGTGGGGTGGTCTCCATGACACCTGCGCCAGAGACCAAGAGAGGACACGTAGGGTGCTGCCATGAGCTGGGGGTGGCAAAGAAGGGACATGACGGGGCGGAGGCCACAGTGGAGACCTGGTCAGCATCTCTTGTGACGCCGGGTCAGAGGGGCACAAGCCTCCTCCAGGAAGCCCTCAGAGCCTGGCCACGGCCCCCCCACCGCCACCATCGTCACCTCACTCTGGTCCAGCCCAGATACACGCACCTGGGGGGAGGCCCCCGCCTCTGTGTCCCAAATGGTGGGGTCCTTCTAAGCGGGGGGGGTGTCCCTCGGATGGAACAGGGGTGCCTTGCGAGGACAGGGAGGGGCTGGGGGGAGGGGTCCCTGCAGTGGGGGAGGATTTGGGATTGCAGAACTTCCCAAACTGGGAGCTTCTGGTCCCGGGATTTAGTGGGAGGGGACACAAAGGTGCCCACGGGGCTGCTAAAATTGGGAAATCTTGGGTGGGGGGGCCAAACACGGACACTTTTGATTTCTGCATCTGCCACGCCCCATGGTGACAGAGAGCTCTTCCCCACTAAAGGGGCTCCCCTGTAAACTCTGGTCCTCTGCAAAGGTGTCTCCCCTCCTTTCTGCCATTGTCGCCTGCACAGGTGCCTGCAGAGGCCGGGGCGCGCGTCCCATGTCCCCGCTCCGCCCCTGCAGACGGGGTGGCAGCTCGCAGGGTCACCGGGTCACAGGGAGCCGCAGGTTCCGGGCGGGAAGGAGGCGGGGGGGGGGGTGTGGGGATGGGCGGGGGGGTCTGGCGCGCCCCTTTCCCTGGCTGGTCGCCTTGCTTTCATCTCCGAGGCCCAGGCCGGCCCCCACGTGGCTTAATCAGGCGCGGCTGTGCCTGGCGGACCCGAACATCTGGATCCCTGCGCGGCCCCTTCCCCGCCCCGCCCAGCCTGGGCCTCCCGCCCGCCCCGCCGTGCGCACCGGGGATGGAACCGCGCGCGCGCCCTGGGGACGCGCGGTGTCCCCCACCCTCACCCCCGGCCGGCTCCCATCGGCTGGGCACAGCCAGGACTCAAGCCCACACACGTCCTCTGCAGAGTCCCCAGCGCTCACCCTGCGCAATTCATCCCAAACCAAACACTTGTGGGCCACCACCCTATAGGAGAGATACTGGGAAGCGTCGCCCATTCCCAAATTAGGAAACCGTAGTCCAAAGGGGTTGGGCCCAGGTGACAAACAAGCCAGAGGAGGAAAAGCCACCAGAGCAGTGGCCAAAGCTTGGAGAAGGGGAAGGGGCGGTGGAGTTAGGGGTTTAGACTGGACAGACACAAAAGGAAGGGTACCTTTTGCAAAAAGGGAAACTGAGGCTGTAGGGATTCGGCTGCCCAGGGGAGGAGTCTGATGGCCGCTCACCCGCCCCCCTTTCCGCTCCATGAGGCAGCAGGAAGGAAGCGGAAGAGGACTTGACCCTGGCCCCCCAGGTGAGCCCCCCTCAGTCCCCCACTGCACCCCTCCTGTGGTCCCCCAGGGAGCCAGCCCAGGTGAGGGGCGGGCAGGCCGGCGGGCGGCCGGGGTCGGGTTTCAGGAAATCCGCCGACATTCCTTCGGGGCTTAAGAGGGAAAGTTGACTCGACGCCGCCCCTCGTCGTCCCCCCCCACACTTCCTACCCCCCGGGGCGGCCTGGCCTGGGGGCGGCGGGCGGGGCCCCCCACCGGCGTGAATCAGCGGCAGGCCACGCGTCCGGGAAGCAGTGGCCTCCGAGGTCAGGGCAGCCAGTGGACAAGCGCCCTTTGTCCCTCGCCGCTCTTAGCACGACCCCGCTGACCCCCACCCCCAAGCCGGGCCCAGGCGGAGGAGGCAAGGCAGGGTGGCGCCTTAGCTTGCTGACAATGGGGGGGGAAGGAGGGTGCACGTGGAAGGAGGGGGGTGCAAGTTTGCAAGCCCCCCCAATACCTCTCCAAGCAGCTGGGACCCAGACTTGGAGATTCTTCAGGGTGCAGAAGGACAGGGAACCAGCCTAGATCTCAGAGGCCACGGTGCACGCGAGCTTAGGGCCTGATGTCCAGAGTACCCCAAATTTGAAACCTGGGCATCCCCACTTCCCAAGGAGATAATGACAAAGTCTGGGTGCATGCAGCCCTGAACCAGGTTCCCAGAACCCCAAATGTCTGGAGAATAGGCCTCTCGCCCACTGTGGCCCTGGAGGAGGGGGTACCCCAGCAAGGGGCAGCTCTCTTCACTTGGCTCCGGGCTCCCACAGGACACGGGACCTCCTCGATCTGGTGCGCTTCAGCCCCTCTGCCCCCCAATCCTGACCTTACCCGCAGGGTAGCCTTGCAGGGGAAGGAGGGGCAGCAGGGTGGCGGCTGTCCCTTCTCCTAACACAAGTGCTCAGTGCATTCCCAGCCACCTTGGAGGACTTGGGTCAATATTTGACAGAGTTCTACCCATGCCTGGTCCCCCGTTGGGCAAAGAGATGGAGGGGCTGGGGAGGAGGGGGGTCAAGTTGCTGGGGGTGCCCTGGAGACGGAAGGAGCACTTGGGGTCCACGCTTGCTTTTTCCCTAACATCCAGGATCTGGGGTAATAGTCACCCAGACGCAGAGGTCGTGCTCCAGGGTGGGACTGGGCAGGATGGGGAAATAGGGGTGTCTACCAGCTGGGAACACACAGCCAGTTTTGGGGGGGTCAGGAGCCAGCCTGGGAACTCAAGCAGCAGACTTGACTTGTAGGGGGGCTGAGCTCTTGTAGCTGAAGGGACTCGGGGTGTATGAGGTTCTTCTGTGTCCTTTTTCTTTTGCAAGTGTTTATTGAGTTCTTTGGCTCTCCCTGGGCCCGCCATGGGGTCCTGCAGAGGGGCTCAAGATCTTCTGAATAGCAATAGGTGTTTGAATAACTGTGAGGAGGACTATAAAAGACACTGGTGTGCGTGGAGGGGAAGGACAGGGCCTCTCTGAGGACCTGGGACCTCACAGAGATGGGTTTGGGAAAAGCATCCTTGCAAGAAACAGCCCATGTGCCAAGGGCCCTGGACAGTGACAAGCTGCCAGGCAGGGGCTGGACGCAGTGAAGGAGAGGAGGGGAGAGCCCCGGGGGTGGGGAAGGTGGTCTGCTCTTGGACAAAGGCAAGGGGGTTGGGGGACAAGACCTGGAGGAGGCCGGCGGGGAGAGGATGGGGAGAAGGGGTCGGGATCCATCTCACGGTGGGGTGTGCTTTGCAATCGGAGCCAACAGGCCTTGCCTGATGGATAGGACGCGTGGGAAGAGAAAAGCAGTTGTCACGCGGGCTTCCAGGTCTCGGGCCTGAGCACCTGGGTGGATGGGGGAGGAGCACAGATGGAAAGGGGGGGTGGATTAAAGCTGTTGCTGAGATCCCCCCCCAGCAGAGGGACACATATGTCTACCCAACCCTGAGCATGTGCAAGCAGGGGCTGGGGGAAGGGACACTGAGTGTCCGCAAAGAAAAACAGCCAAGACCCACCATCTCCACTGAATCCTTGCGCTCACCTGGCAGGCTAGGACTATGTTCCCATTTTTCAGAGAGGGCACACATACATCCCCACAGGCCACCTTTGCTCCAGAAGAACGTGCCCTACTGGATGAAGGGCTTAGATTTCTGGAGAATTCTGCTTTATTGCCTCTTGTCACGGAAACTTTTACGCTGGCCGGGAGTTGTCCACCACTCAGAGGCAAAAGAGCACAATGGGCCCTCCTTGGTTTTGCTTCTGTCCCTGGCCATCCCATCTCCACCCTTCTGTCTGGTTGGTTTTTGGGATTTTTTGGATAGTCCGGAGTCTCAGCTGGGGGTCCAAGATGGAGAGAGTAGGGGCAGCCCTGAGTGGACAAGGTGAGGCCCCCCAGCTCTCCACTGTCACTTTCACTCTCTTGGCTGGTTGGGGACGTGCAGGGAGATCCAGGCTTGTAAAGAATCCCACAATGGGGGAGTTACAGCCTTTAAGGGCACTGGGGCTGGGGGTGGAGCCGCTACCCAACCCAAGTGAGGCTGGGACCACCCGGGAGCTCTCATTTCACGCACACCCGTGATTGCGGCCTTGGAGGCCAGGAACTTTTTTTTTTGTTGTTGTTGTCTTTTTTTCCCCCGTGGGCACCAAATGAGGGTGGAGACGAAGAAGAGGGGGATGAGACGCCTGAGCCGGGAGGGGTCCGGAAACCCGAGCAGTGGCCAAAAATAATAACAGAGAGAAGGATCTTTGCGCAAAAAGGAAGATAAACTATGCGTCGCTCCGGGCAGCCGGCGTTACCTGCAGTTGGCGGGCGGCGGCCGCCGAGCGATTACTCACCGCGTGGTGCACCCCACCCGCGGGCCGCTGAGCGGATTTTTCCGTGGGGGGGAGATGTGAATGACTCTTGGGACAAGTCCCTTTCACTGTCTCCTCTGGGAACCCCTCCCGCCCCGAGCGCGGGACCTGATCCCCGAGCCCATGGGGGTGGGGGGGTCCCCTCTCCCCATCTGCCCACCCACGGCCTGTGTCCCGAGGCTCTGGGACGCCCCCCGAGGACCCCCCCCCAAACCCATTCCACGCGAGGAGGACCTCAGAGCCAGTCGAGGGCCGGGGACTCCGAGCTTTCCCTCTCTCTCCAGCGAAGCTCAAAGCTCGGAGCGAGGCTGCGCACGGAGGACCGCGGAGAGGCGGGATGGAGTGGGAGGGCCGAGGCCGGTGGCACCCGCGCGCCCGCGCCCTGAGGCTGGGGGCCACTTTGCAGCCCCTGGGGAGGAAGAGGGGCTGGGAGGGGGGGTGGGCGGGGCTCGGGGACCGCTCAGTGCGGGGCGGAGCTAGAGTGGGGGGGGCGCCCGCTTCCCAGGGTTGGGGAGGAGGTGAGGGAGGAACCGGGCAGGGGCGGGCGGGGACGCTGTAGGAGCACCCGACGGAGGGCTGGGTGCGGAGAGATGGAAACGCAATTGGGGGCTCCGGGTCCAAGATTGGGGGTGGGGAGCCCAAAGTTGGGGTTGGAGAGGGAGGTCCCGCGAGTAGGGAATGAGTGTGTGTGGGGGCTGTGGGCCGTGGGACCTGCGCGCGCGGTTCGCGGCGGGGCGGAGGCCGGACGGGCGGGGCCGCGAGGTGCCCGCGGCGGGCGGGTGGGGAGGCCGGTGCGGGGCCGCCGTCCCCCCGGGCGGGCCGGGCCGGGCCGGGGGCGGGGCCGGGCGGGGCCAGCGGCGCATTAGCGCCTTGTCAATCGGCTGCTCAGACTTGCTCTGGCCTCCGCGTCCGCGCCCAGCGACGTGCGGGCGGCCCAGCCCGCGCCCTCCGCGCCCTCCCGTGCCCTCCCGCTCCCGCTCCGCGCCTGCACCCGCATCCCGCGCCGCCGCCCGCCGCCGCGCGCCCCCCGGCAACTCCGGCCCCAATGCCCGCCGGCCGCCCGGGCCCCGCCGCCCAATGCGCGCGGTGGCCGCCGCCGCAGCCGCTGCTGCCCCTGCTGCTGCTCTACGTCCTCGGGGCGCCGCGACCCGGATCGGCAGCCCGTGAGTACCCCGCGCCCCGCTCCCCACCTCCTGCAGCAGCCGAGCGCCCGCGCCCTGGGGGCAGCCGCGGGGGGGGGGGAGGGGGCGCGGGCGCCACCTGGACGGTCCGGGAACAAAGGAAGGCGCCCCCGGCGCGGCCCTCGGGGCGCCCTCACCTGCGGGGCGCACTGCGCCCTAGGACCCCGGCCTGAGGGTCCTGTTTCCTCGCCCGGGTCTTCTTACCTGGGCTGCCCAACCGGGTCCCCAGAGGCCCGGAGACTCTCTGCACGCGGGGACGCAGCGGGCGCACGCGTCTGCGTTCCCGGTCTGGGGAGCCGCTGGGACCGCGGGGCTCAGCGCTCGGGCGGGGGCGCACGCGGCTGGCGCGCAGGGTGCGGGCGGGGTGTCCCCCCCATGGCGGGAGGGATGAGCCCCGCGGGGAGGGCGGGGCGGGAGGGGGCCGCTCTGGCCGCCTGGCGCGCGGCCCGGGGTCCCCGGGGACCTGCCTCTCGCGGGCCGGTGGCGCCGCCCTCCCCCTGCGGGATCCCGCGCACTGGGGTCCGCAAAGTCTCCACCACTGGTGGCGCGCACGATCGTTCTCGTCCTGGCGACACTGCGAGAAATCTTTGTGAGCGAGCCGGCTAGAGGGACAGGGCGCGGGAGCCACTGAGCCCGGGCACCACAGGCCCAGACTTTTGGAAGGAGAAGGGGAGGGGGGTCCACTGGGAATCCAGAGCCCCACAGGCCGAGGAACACCACCCTCTCCCCTTCTGGATAGGAAGCTTCTGGCCTTAGGCATTCTCCCGCCCCCCACCCAGTGCACACCCCCGCCAGGATACGGTCTCCACATCCAGACCCGCTCGGGGACACACCCAAAGACACACAAAGGCTCACGCTGGCTGGTGTCCCGTCACCCTCGCCCTCGACGCGCACACACTGCAACCCAGATGCACACTCGCACACCATCGTACACGCATTCCATCTTCGCACACACATCCGTGGTCGTGCGCCATTCCGCAGGGGAGGCAACAGGGCACGCATTGCAGGCACCGAGCCCGGGGACGTTCAGTGTCATGTACCCCAGCCTAGGGCACAGGCCACCGTCAGGGCACCCACTGCTCCTAGGCCGGCCAGTATTTCTTGCGGGCTACTTGGAGCCTTCTCCCAGTTCCTGCAGCCCCCAGGGGCACTTGGGGATGTCCAGTTTATCCAAAGCGCCTGGGCAGGTGAGGGTGTCCCCAGGGTCCTCCTGGGGTCCCTGGTGGCTCTGCCAGGCCCTGTGTAATTCGTGATGGTGCCACACATTTGGGCCAAGCTTTGTTCGCCAGCAACAGGCGAAGGTAGGGGGTGGGGTGTGTGTTGTGTGTGTGTTTTTTCCTTTAAGGGGGAAGAAATTAAAGCTTCTCACACCTCGAAATATGTTTCTACTTACCGTGTGTCTTAGCACCTGACCAGCAGTCGGGTGGGTCGTAAAGTGTCTGCAGGTACCAGAGGGACAGGAGATGGGGGACCCCCGTGGGGGCCTTGGGGGACAGAGGCCACCCTCCCACTAGATGTTTGGGGAATCTCACACTTTCTCCTTTTAAAACACATGGTGTTCCTTTTTAATAACACAGTGCCTCCACGCTGGGGGAAAAAAAAAAAACTTGTAAAGGCCTCAGCTCTGTGGGAAAGTAGGGGGGGCAGGGAGCGAGGGGAAGGGGGACTGTCCCAAAGCCCAACCTAGGGTCTGCTTTGGGAGGGAGTCCTGAATGAGGCCCCCAAAGCAGACTCAACTCCTCCTGCTGCAGTGGGGCTGGGGTGTGTGTGGGGGGACTGTTCCCAGCAGCCCCATTTTTCACCAAGGTGGGGACGGCAGCCGGGGTAGCAGTTTTCCTAGATCCTGGAGGATGCCAGGCACCTGGACACCCCTCCTCCCCGCCCTGCCCATCTCCCCAGGAGGTAGAATACATCTCTCCCGTTTTATGGGTGAGAAAACTGAGAACTGGAGGAGAAGTCAGTCAGTGGCCAGGTGCCCCTGGCTGAGGCTACACCCCTTCCCAGCAGGACTGGGAGCCTGTGTGACCTTTCCTGCTGGGACTGGGGTGGAGGACTGGCCTGTCCAGGCCCGCCTGGCCTTGCCCCACTCCCCCGCCCGGCCCTGGGAGGGAGGGCAGCTGCAGCTGCCTGCAAATGGCCTCGCCAGCCCAGGGGGGGCAGGCATGGCAGGGGCAGTGCCCCCCAGCCAGGACCCCCCCCACACACCCAGAGAGCTCTTTCCTGGCCAGACCAGGACTGTGGGGGTGTGGGGTGTGTGTGACCCACCAGGAGGGCTGACAGTGGGCCTGGGGTCCGGGCAGGCCTGGCTGTGCCTCCCACCCTGCTTGGGGGGGGTGGGACCCAGGCAGGAAGCAGTGGGTGGGCCGGGGCAGAGACGCTGGCACGCCCGAGTTCATGCCGAAAGAATTCCGAATTAGCGGGCGGCTGGCTGCCTGGGACCTCCGGGGCGGCCCCCCTGGCCCCCCGCCTCCTCCTCGGCTCTGGCCTGCTCTGCCGGCTTCTTCGCACGGACGGCAAGTCCTGGGCCCGGCCCCAAACGCAACTGCGATCCCAGGCTCCAGCAAGACGTGGTCCTGCAGCCAAGTTTGCCCCAGAAAAATCGGCAGAGCCCTGCCCAGAACCGCATCCACCTCGCCCATCTGGGACCCTGAGGGACAGTACAGGCCCGCTCGTTGGTGTGCAAGGAGCCTACGGGGGGGGGGGGGGGGCTGGGTCACCCTGTCCTTGGCCACCATCTCTGTGAAACTGGGCTGGCCCTCCTACAATCCCTTCTCACAGCCTTTTAAATGCAAATTCAACCGTGACCCTCCCTGCTCTGAACCCTAGAACAGCCCCTGCCTCCTCCCTGTAGCAGGGTCTTTGCCGGCTCCCCAAGCCACAGCCTGCCCCAGGGCCTTTGCACTTGCAGCTACCCACTGGTGCACACTGTCTCCTGGCTTTCCTTGGGGCTTAATCCAGAGGTCACCTACTATCTAATCTGCAGTTGCTATCTTAGGCCTGTCTCCCTATACCCTTGTTTAACGTCGTCCCTTTGGCTTGTTTAAACTTCTTATTTCTTTATTCGTGCTGCCTCTTTGAACTTAAGGCCCACAAGGGTAGAAGGTGTCTTAGGCAGCATAACGTCACTGTTTCCTGCAGGCTGTCTGTCTTGTGAATAAATGAGGAACGAATGGCGTCCCCACCACCGCTCCGGGTGAAGGAAGGGGGAATGGTCCCAGGAGCTGGTGGTATTTGAACTCAGGGTTGCCTGGCTGCAAGGTTGCACAGGGGATTCCTCTGACACCATCAGCACTCCCTCAAATGGCCCCCTGAGGTTGACACCAGGGTGCACACCTCCTTGATGGAGAAGCTGAGTCTTGGAAGTGTCTGGGACTTGGTTCCCCCCCATGCCCAGCAAAACAGTCCCTTCTTTAGTTCCAATCTGCTCAAAGGGGTGCCTGGGAGCTCCCTGGCTCCTGTGTCCCATTCCATTCCACCACCAGTTCGGAAGCCCCCTTCCAGCCCACTGGTCACAGTGGCCCGAGGGACAGAGGGCTTCCTCTGTTCTCTGCAGGTCAGGGAATGAGGGGAACAGGTGGGAAGCCCTGTGGGAGACAAGGTGAGGCTCAGAGCACCCCACTTTCTTAAGTACCAGTGGCTGTGTTCAGCAGAACTTCCAGCACCAGCAAACATGGGCTTCTGTAGGTCTGAGACCTAGGATGTCTCTCTCTCTCTCTCTCTCTCTCTCTCTCTCTCTCTCTCTCTCTTCTCTCTCTCTCTCTCGACAGGGTCTCCCTATGTAACCCAGGCTGACCTGGAACTTTCCTCCTGCTTCAACCTCCTGCTTCAACCTACCAAATTTGTAAGAGCAAGAGCAAGATAGAGAGAGAGAAGAGAGAGAGAGAGAGAGGAGAGATTGAGATTGTCAGGACTGTGTGCAAAAGCAAGGGTCACTTGGAGCTGAGGCCGTTTATGCCTGACTTTTTTTAACAGCTCGGACAGCCTTAAGCAAGTTGGTGACCCTGTGGCGTGGAAGACACTGAGCTGTAAACTTGGCCTCGATCTTGGCTAAACTCGCTGCCCACCTTGGACTGGGCACTTAACCTAATGCTGTCGATGGGCAAAATAATGTCTCAGGACTGCTATGAGTCCTGGAAGTCCTGGCATGGTGGGCGGTGCTCAAGGGACCCCCGCTGCTTCCACCGTGACAGACGCCCTCCCTCTTTGACCCCAGACACGGCGGTGATCAGCCCCCAGGACCCCACACTCCTCATCGGCTCATCCCTGCAAGCTACATGCTCCATCCACGGGGACCCACCGGGGGCCACGGCCGAGGGTCTTTACTGGACTCTTAACGGGCGCCGCCTGCCCCCCGAGCTCTCCCGTGTGCTTAATGCCTCCACCCTGGCCCTCGCCCTGGCCAACCTCAACGGGTCCAGGCAGCAGTCGGGGGACAATCTTGTGTGCCATGCCCGTGATGGCAGCATCCTGGCTGGCTCCTGCCTCTACGTTGGCTGTAAGTGATCCTAGGACCCCCCCCAAACACAATCCCTCCCAGGGTAGATTTGGGGGGGGGGTCCAAGAATCATGAGCTGAGTGGTAGGAAGGCTGGCACAGGCTTGGTGGTGGGGGGGGTCCCAGGGGGGGAATGAGAACGTGGAGAGAGACCCTGCCTGTCACCTTCAGCCCGGGGACACAGCTGGAAATGTCCTGCTCCAAGGCAGGGTCCAGCAAGCAGCCCACCTCCAGGCCCTCTAGACCCCCCCACTTCCCACACCCTTCCTTCCTCCCCAGTGCCCCCAGAGAAACCCTTCAACATCAGCTGCTGGTCCAAGAATATGAAAGATCTCACGTGTCGCTGGACGCCAGGGGCCCACGGGGAGACCTTTCTGCACACCAACTACTCCCTCAAATATAAGCTGAGGTTGGTGTGGTGGAGACCCAGGCCTATGCCTCAGCCCAGCCCGGCTGTGTGACCTCAGGTCGCTGCATTCCTTCTCTGAGCCTCTATCTGCAAATGGGGGATGGATGTCTGGGGACCAGAAGGGACCCTCATGTGGTATCCTGATTTCCCTCCTGCCCTGCAGGTGGTACGGGCAGGACAACACGTGTGAGGAGTACCACACAGTGGGGCCTCACTCCTGTCACATCCCCCGGGACCTGGCTCTCTTCACTCCCTATGAGATCTGGGTGGAGGCCACCAACCGTCTGGGCTCTGCCCGCTCGGATGTGCTCACTCTGGACATCCTAGACGTGGGTGAGCGCCCCAGCGTCTACCAGGCCTAGCCACCAGGCATCCTGAGGGGCAGGCCTAGCCACCAGGCATCCTGAGGGGCCTTCCCACCCCTCACCCCCTCCTCCCGTGTTGTTTAGTCTTCTGGGGGCCCTGCCAGCCCCCCAGCTGTGGTTGCAATTCCAGGTCTGTCCCTGCTAGCGAATGGGGAGGGAGCAGAGCATCTTTAGTCCAAAGCCCCCCAAAGCAGCCAGGATACCCCCCTCCCGCTCTGCAGAGAACACCTGGCCTGGCCGCCTCCCCCTCGGCAGCCCAGGTGTGCAGGAGGGGGGCCCGGGGGAGCGGGGAGGGGGCGCCCAGGTCGGGAGGCGCCCCAGGAAGCTGAGGTCTGGAGCTGTGGGGGGGGGGGGTTTGAAGGCGGGAGGCAGGAAGTACATGCAGAATTGGGCCTAATCTAATTAGAGCGGTTGTCAGCCCAAGCAGGCCTGGGCCTTAACCCTTTCCGCCCCTTGCCCAGGCCTCAGGGGGACAGCCCAGCCTGGCCTGCTGCCTCCATGCTCCTGGGGGGACCCCTGGCTTGTGTCCCACCCCCCTGGAGCCAATATGGGCAAGTTCTAAGCCCCAGAAGCAAAACCTGTCAGGGGAAAGATTTTGATCAAGTGGTAAGGAAGGAGGTGGGTTGTAGGGGATCAAGTTCCCAGGGGCTGCTTGCTGTCCCCCTGGGGATGGACCTCAGGACCCCAGGGCCATGCACTGGCCAGGCGAGTGCTCCTCCACCAAACTGACCCCACGAGGCTGCTGCCTCTGCTTTGAGGTAGCCCCCCGCACAGAATTTCATCTATTAGCTGTGATAATAATGCTGATAACAGCTAACATTGAGTGTTGCTAGGTTGCCAGTTAAGTAATGTAATCCAACAGACCCCGGGGCTTGGGCAGGCAGAGTAGCTCCAAGGAAGGGGACAAAGACAGGCAGGTGTCATCAAAGTCATAGGGTCAGCTATAAAGAGTAACCCCCACCTCCCGCCCCACGCAGTGACCACGGATCCCCCACCTGACGTGCACGTGAGCCGCGTCGGGGGCCTGGAGGACCAGCTGAGCGTGCGGTGGCTTTCGCCCCCTGCCCTCAAGGATTTTCTATTTCAAGCCAAATACCAGATCCGTTACCGCGTGGAGGACAGCGTGGACTGGAAGGTGCCAGGCCACGCCCCCCGCCGTGACCACGCCCAGATTCTAACCACGCCCCACCCGTGTCCGGGCCACGCCCCCGGTCATGACCACGCCTCCTGCCCGGGCCACGCCCCAACCCGATCAGGCCTTTAGGTCCTGGCCCCGCCTTCAGGTCCTGGCCACGCCCACGGACCTGGCCACGCCCCCACCTCTGATTTTGCCCTCCTCCCAGCGCAGGTGGTGGACGATGTTAGCAACCAGACCTCCTGCCGCCTGGCCGGCCTGAAGCCGGGCACCGTGTACTTCGTCCAGGTCCGTTGTAACCCCTTCGGGATCTATGGCTCCAAGAAAGCGGGGATCTGGAGCGAGTGGAGTCACCCCACCGCCGCCTCCACCCCCCGCAGTGGTGAGCACCCCCAAGAAGGGCCAGGGATGTGGGGAGTGGGGAGGGTGCTGGGGGGTCAGGCCTTAACTTGTCGCCTTCAAGAGAGCAAGGGTCCCACACAGGTATCCCCTAGGGGTCTGGATTTATTTAGCTTGTCGTGCAAAAAAAAAAAAAAAGTCTGACCTACTTGCAAGCATTGGAAAACTAAGTTTTCACACAAATATCCTAGATTCCCTAGGAAAATTAATTTTTTGGAGAATGGAACTAGAACGACAGGACAGAGCCCACACTCTCTCCACTTTGCCCCATCCCCACCTGTACCCCATCCTGTGCTTCTGAGCCTCACGGCCTCAGTATCCCCCTGGGTTCGAACCCAGGGTTTTGTACTACCACTGAGCTGCACCCCTATAGTCCTTGGTTTTCTTTTTATTTTTGAGCCAAGGTCTCACTGGGTAGCCCAGGCTGGCCTCCATCTTCCTGCCTCAGCCTCCCGAGGAGTGACTACTACCGGCGGTGCTCAGTATCCCCCTTTTTTTTTTTTTTTTTTTTTTTTTTTGCAGTACTGGGGTTTGAATTCAGGGCCTACACCTTGAGCCACTCCACCATCCCTTTATTTATGATGGGTTTTCTCGAGATAGGATCTCTACAACTATTTGCCTGGCTGGCTTCGAACCACGATCCCCCTGATCTCTGCCTCCTGAGTAGCTGGGATTACAGGCGTGAGCCCCCAGCGCCGGCATCCCCTCTTTTTTAAGGGCAGGGGGTACTGCGTCCTGTGTGTTTCCTCGAGCCCCTGGACCTCCGTCCTCTCCTCTGGGAGATGGAATAAAATTTGTTCCTTGTAATATCTGGCCTGTTTCCCTATCTGGAAAGCCGTGTTGTTGAGAGAGTTATAGGGTGACATACTGCTTGGTGTGTACCACTGCGGTATTTAGGTAACCCCCACCCCAAGGAAGGTTCCCCCCTCTTTTTTTCTCCAGCAAGGACAGGTCATAGTGACCCAGTCTGCTGCAAGTCTAGGTCCACGCTGATGGGGATGATAGGGGAAACTGAGGCCCATACAGCTCCAGAGTCAGGGAGGAGGGGCCGACCTGGGCTCCAGCCAGCTCCCCAGCCCCCTCCCGGGCCCCTCCATCCGGGTCCCGAGTGGGCGGAGCTTGCGCGGAGGGAGGGGCCGCTCGCCTTGGCCCCTGCTCGTGCCCAGCACCTGCGATTCTTGCACGGGAGCCAGGAGGCCGCTGCGTCCGCAGGGGAGAGGCCGGGGGTGGGGAGTGGGGGGCCGGGGCCGTGCCAGGGCCTGTCAGCGGGTCCCCAGCTTTATTTATGACGTGAGGCCGATGTCCTTATCCGCCGGCCTGCTTGGGGCTGGCTGTGGCTCCCACCTGGCCCTCCCCAGCCTACTCCCCATCCCGGAGGCTCAGGCTGCAGACTCCTTGGGACTGTCCCCTGGGGACCTTCTTCTTGGACTCTGTCTGCCACGCTTCCCCTGTCTCTTTTTGTTCTTGTGGTGCATTCCTATGCATCTTGGTCTTTTTCTGTCCCTAGGTCCCCAAGGTCCATATCCCACCTTATCCAGGCCGTGCCCCTCCCTTGTCCTGTCTCCATCTGTGCCCCACCCTCTTCACCTCCCTGTCTGTCCCTCTGCCTCTGCGTGTCCCTGTCCCATCAGACTCTCTCTCTCTCTCTCTCTCTCATTGGCTCTGGCTGCTCCCCCTCCCCCACTCACACCTGGCTCAGGCCACAGGAATGGGGTTCCTGGAGAGGAGCTGTGCGTGGAGGCGGGGGAGCCCCTTCCTCCTTTCCACCCCCATCCAGGGCGCACCAGCTGGGCTGCGTCCCCGGGAGCCGGGTGCGCTCCTGCCCGCGCGCGCCCCCTGCCGGCCGCGCGCTGACACTACGTGTTTCACCGGCTCCCCCCACACCCACATTTTTTTTTTTTTTTAAAGAGCGCCCGGGCCCGGGCGGGGCGTGCGAGCCCCGGGGTGGCGAGCCTAGCTCGGGCCCGGTGCGGCGCGAGCTCAAGCAGTTCCTGGGTTGGCTCAAGAAACACGCATACTGCTCCAACCTCAGCTTCCGTCTGTACGACCAGTGGCGGGCTTGGATGCAGAAGTCGCACAAGACCCGCAACCAGGTAGCAAAGGGGGGAGGGGGAGGGGGGCCCTGGGAGCGGGGCGAGGCAGGTCTGCATCCCCGACCCCCGAGACCCTCCTGCCTTCTTTCCAAGCACAGGACGAGGGGATCCTGCCCTCGGGCCGACGGGGCGCGGCGAGAGGTAAGGGGGGGACGGGGGAGGGTGGGGAAATGCCCAGGTGGGTGGGGCGGCCCTAATCAGGTGAGTAGTGAACCTTTATTTAGCACTTTCTGCAATCCTGGGCCCTGGATGTGGCACGTGGGATAACCGCATCCTCTAAAGTTGAGCCCGGCCTCCCTTCTGTCTGCAGGTCCTGCCAGATAAGCTTTAGGGCCCTCACCACTACATGGAGACCCCAAGACCCAACCCAAACTGGGGCCGCTTCCACCGTGACTTCAGCTCCTGGCACCTCAGCAGGGGCTTGGGCAGCGCTCCAACAACTCTGGCCCATGTCGGGGCCACCCTTGGGTGCACCCCAGTATGTGTGGATTGTCCAGTTGTCCACAATTCCAGCGTGGGCTGGGGCGATCACGACACCCCGCCAACCCAGGGCCCCTCCTACAATATTTTTAAATAAACGAGTTGTTCTAGGTGCCCTGGTGGTACATGCGGAGTTCGAGGCCCGGGTGAGGGCCCAGTGGGGTTTGGGGTGGGGGACATGAGTCACCGAAATGACCCTTTGGGTTGGAATGTCCGCCCCCACAATTCCGGACTCTCCAAGACCAGCAGTGAGTGTCTGGTTCTGGAACCCTTGGAAGGTGTGACTCAAAGCCCCAAGGTTTTGAGGCAGAGTGTGTGTGGGGGTCCTTCAACACCTTCCCTGGTTCCCCAAAACACAAAAGTGAGGGTCCACTACTCCCTGGCCCCAGCGCCCCGGAACAAAGGTGACATGAGGCGCAGAGGACGGACTTGTATTGCGGGAGGGGTTGCTGAACTGGACGGGTCACCGCCTGGTGGGGCACGACCTCGGCCAGCTGGCGGTCAGGGCTGGCCGCCACCGGCCTCCTTTCCCATCTCCCTCGGTGTGTCTCTAGGGAGCTACCATCACTCTGCAGACTCCGCATGAAATCTTAGGTCCTGGAGAACCTCGCTGATCGCCTCCATGGTTTTAATTACTCTACAAGAGCGGATGAGAACTATAAATAAAACCCAGATGGACCGAATTAGCCGCTGCTGCACAGCTTGCTGGCTTGGAAGGGGGATGCGGGGAGCCCAGGGCCCCGCTGCCCACCGAGGGCCTGTGGCAGCAGCAGCCTGGAGGGTCCTGGGAGGAGTGGTGGGTCACGGGGGGGGGGGGGGGGCGGAACTAGACCGTGGGGGAGGGCGCGTGCGCGGGGAGGTTCTGATGGCGGCAGCAAGGGCACATCCTAAGCTGTGCGCAGGAGGTCCGAGGGTCCCAGCTGGCAGGCCAGCCCGAAGTGAGGGCAGCGGCGCCCACTTCCTCTGCAGCTCACGCGTGTGCATGGCATCTGCTGCCCCCTCAGCTCTGGGGTCCCCGCCGGCAGCAGCAAGGCCACCTGAAGGGGAATGGCTAGTTGGCGTTGTCAGGGCGGACAGCAGCCGCCTCTGCTCTCCCGGAGCGTGCAAGGGAGGAAGCAGGGGCGGAGCTGAGCGCGGGCGGGGACGTTTCGGCCAGAGATTGGAAGACAGGTGGAATGGGCGAGACCGGGCGTTAGGACGCCAGGACGGACGCGGACGGAAGGTTGAGGTCGGGAGTGGAACCTGCCTAGCAAGCTCGAGCCCTGAGTCCAAAACCCGGTGCGGCGGAAGAGGCAGAGGCCGCAATCGACAGCAACTCAGACTGCAAGCTGGTCTGGAGACGCAGCGCGGCGTGGGCGTGGCTTCGCGTGACCACGCCCTCCCTCGCGGATTGGCTGCGGGGCCCGAGGGGGCGTGCCGCAGAAAGCCAGAAGAGGGAGGGGCCAGGCGGTTGATGGACAGTTTCGCGGAGCTGCACCCGCCCCAGCCTGGGGCACCGTGGCCGGCCAGGTGGGCCTGGGTCATCTCGGGCGCGGCAAGTCGCGGGTGCCTTCCTGCAGAACGCCGGCCCCAGCACCGCGTCCACCCTGCCCACCCACGGCCACACCGGCGTCCCCTCGGTCACCGTCACGGTGTCCCCTGCCGGCAGGAGGCCCGCGCCGCCCCGTCCCCCGCGCCCCCATCCTGCCTATGCCCGCGCCCGCCGCAAGCCCACGCCATCGTTCTCCGGGCAGGAGCCGCGTGTCAAGTATGGACATCGTTGTCACCCGCACACACAGGATCGCGCACGCCGGCTGCTGCTCGGCCTGGGGGCGTTTATTGGCTACTTGACCTTCTTCTTGGGGCGCAGGTTGTTGGTGTGGCCGCACTTCTTCTTGCGGCAGTTGACGGCGCGCGGGTGCAGGCGCGCGTAGCACTTGCGACAGATCATCTTGTCGCAGTTGTACTTCTGCGCCAGCTGCCGCAGGGACGGCTCGATGATGCCGCCGCGCAGCCGCAGCACCAGGTGCAGCGTGGACTCTGCGGGGCGGGCGGGCGGGGTCAGCGGCCTCGGATGCTCAGGGCCAAGGCCTCCAACTGTCCCCTCCCCCGGCCAGGTCACATCAAAATAAAAGGGGGAAGGGGATGATGGAGGAGGGCTATCTACGACATTTACCACTTATGTAAATGTCACAATGTCCCTCTGTACAAGTATAATATGCTAAAAAACCAGAAGTGCCCATGAACACGCGCCGAGAAGCCACCGCCAAACAAGTGTGCCTGGCCTCCCGCAGGGTCCCCGCCGTCCTTTCCCGCCCTTGTTGGGGGTGGCAGCTGTCCCTGCTACCTTTCTGGATGTTGTAGTCTGACAGGGTGCGGCCGTCCTCCAGCTGCTTGCCCGCGAAGATCAGCCGCTGCTGGTCGGGTGGGATGCCTGTTGGGGGACAGGGGGCTCAGCCATGGCGCACGTCACTGGCTACACCACCCCCAGTCTCCAAAGGGAAATTGAGGCAGTCAAAGCCACACGGGGGAAGTACCCACGAAGCTGGGGTGCTGAACAAACCTGGCACCCACCACACCCCCACTCACCCTCCTTGTCCTGGATTTTGGCTTTGACATTTTCGATGGTGTCACTGGGCTCGACCTCGAGGGTGATAGTCTTGCCAGTCAGGGTCTTCACGAAGATCTGCATTGCTGTGTCTGTTGCGGGGGGCAGCATGGCGCGATGAGCACGCAGATGTGGTGTCGTCGTCCCGTCCCCCCCAAGCCCACCCTGTGTCCACACCGCCTCCAGCTCTGGGCTGGCCCCAGTGCCCGCTGCAGCCTAAACTTGTCCCACAGCAAGGACCCCCGCATGCCGTGGCACGAGCTTCTTTCTGTGGTGCTGGAGAGGGAACCCAGAGCATCACAGGCCCACACCCCCTGCTACCTGCAGCATTGGAAACCCCAATGTTAACTGGAAATCCATGAGCGGGACAGCCTATGCTCTGAGCTGGCTTCTCACGAACTCCCCAGACCACTGCTTTTTTTTTTTTTCCCCCCTCCCTTTTTCCTTCCTTGGTGGCGCTTTGAACTCAAGGCTTTTGAGTTTGCCACTCCTCCAGTGCCATTCTGCTGGTATTTCTTTGAAGATGGGGGTCCTTGTGAACTCTTTGCCCGTGCCGCCCTCCAACCTCGATCATCCGCATCTCCGCCTCCCAAGTACCTGGGATTACAGGCGTGAGCAGCCACTAGCCCCTGACCACTTCATGCAAAGCAATGGTGGAGGGAGTCTGTGGCATTGGGGATTAAATTCAGTTAGCGTGCTTCCTAGGCCAACTCCACCAGCGCAGCAACGTCCCCAGATTCAAAGCAATCATCCCCCCTCGGGCGATGCTGGGGATTGAATTCAGGACCTTAGGAAGCGCTGGAGCCCTTATAGAGCACACACGCATCCCGCAGGCCATCTCTGGCCTGTGCTACTCGGACCCACAGTGTCCATGGCGTGGCGCTTGCCTGGCACGCGTGAGGCCCGGGGTCCACCCCAGCCATGGAAATAAAAACAATGGCTACCATTAATCAGCCCACCACGTGCCAGTTCCTCGCTCACATACACTTCCGTTTTAAATAAAAAAGGAAAACTACCCAGGCGTGAAAAAGGAAGCAGGAGCAAACCGTAGACGTAGTAGCTTAATGTTTAAAGAGATCCGCGCCGCACCCCGCAATCAACCTTCAACTCAAGTCCGACCACGACCCATCACCCACTGCGCTCCCGGGAACCCGTGGGGCCGCCCGGGCCTTCCTAAAAGCCGCGCTGGCCACCCCGCTGCCCGGCCCGGTCCCGCAGCCTCGGCCTCAAGCGCCCCACCGACACTAGCCGCCCTTTCCGCCCTCCAGGGCCACCCAGCCTCCCGCACAGCCCGCCCGGGACTGGACATAACCTCCGCCACCAACCCTCTCGGCCGCCTCGTTGAAGAGAAAGAGGGCGGCGGAACCGGAAACGGCCGATTCCCCGCCCAGAGCGCCTGCGCTGGGAGCACGCTGCGCGCTTACGTCACAATCCGCCGCACGCAACGGGGGGTCCCGCCTCTGGCCACGCCCCGCCGCCATGTTGGATGCTGGAAGAGGAGGCCATGGCGTGCGTGGGCGAACGTCGCGCTCCTGCTTCCTTCTTTGCCCCGCCCCCATGTCACGTGTAGCAGTTGGCCCCGCCCCCCAGGCGTTTGGGCGCGTAGTTCTGGCAGTGTGTGGAGCGATGGCTGTAGCTGAGGCCAAGGCGTTAGTTAGGCTGCGGGGTGGGACAAGGAAGGGAGGACGCTCGGGGCGCGGATGCGGGGGACCCTGGGACGACCGCTGCCCTCTCCCTGGCCACTGTGCACGCGTGGATCTCAGGCTCCGTCTACCCAAGGTGGGAGCCAAGCAGAGCAGGTGGGACCAGGCTCCGCTGGGGACGTGTGTTCGAGACCCAGGGGCGGCTGAAGGGCCGGACGCGGGAGAGGCGGCGCCCTGTCCTCGTCCCCAGCAACTGCCCGCTCGGCTCCAGCCATCTTCTCTTTTTGTTTTGGTTTTTTTCTCCTCCCTGGGGCTGGAAATGAACCGAAGGCCTTGTGGTCATCCCCCCATCCCACAGCACGACTTCCACGCGCTGCAGAGGTGGGGTGACCGGGGGGAGAGGAACGGACCGTCCCGCACCCCACACCCAGCGCCTGTCCAGCTCTGGGATGGAAGGCAGCTCAGCCAGGTGTCATCCTCCCTGCCTAGGAACGGCCTTTATTGATAACTTCCCAAGAGCATCTGTAAATACCGGGTACAAAAATACTCCCTTCGACTCCGTGCTCCCGGGCCGAGGGCCGAGGGCTGGCCGCCCCAGAAACCTCAACGCAGCTGAAGAAATGTCCCGTACTTTTGTCAAACAACGGTCGGAAGCCAGAATTAGTGTAGGGGTAGGGGGACTCAGGTGACGGTGCCCGTCCCTCTCCGGCAGGTCCTGGCCAGGAGTGGGGACGGCTGGCGCTGCTCTGTGAGAGCCTCGTAAGTGTTGAGAGCAGACCGTGGCGCAGCCTGGTGGCTCCCTCCTGGACACTGTGTCCCGGCATGGTGGGGTCACAGGGAAGGAGCAGGGGTTGGAGGCCCCCAGGAAGAGCACAGCGCAGGAGGGGCCCTGGATGCCAGGACAGGTGGCAGAGCCGATGATGGTGACACAGGGTGACTGCTGCCCCTCGGCCCAGGAGGGCCACCTGTGCCCTGAGCCCTCTGGGGTCTGGGTGGGGGAGTTACTCTCCTGCTGTCTCTTCATCGTCTGTCTGGCTGTGGCCATTGACAGCAGGGGAGCCAGGCCGTGCGTGGGACAGGTCCTCGAAGCCGGGGCTGAGGGAGGGTGAGACAGTGTCAGGGCTGGTGTCACAGGAACCTGTGCTCTGCTCAGAGGTGGCGATGGTGGTCGTGATGCTGGGTGGGACGGCATCTTCGTCATCGTCCTCCAGCAGAGAAGCCTCTGGGATGTCTGTGGAAGGAAGCCCAGTGGGGGCTCAGTGGGGGACTTGCTGTGCGTGTGACCCAAAAGGGCCTTCACCCACAGGGCATGACTCCCCCCACCCCCGTAGTGGGGAATGAAGTCAGGGCCTCACGCCTGCTAGGCAGATTCTCTGCTACCGGAGCTGTGTCCAGCCCTGCTGCTCTTCCTTCCATTTCTCACACACAGCCTTACGCCTTTGCCTGGGCATGGTCTCAGCTGTGATTGTCCTACCTCCAGCTCCTGATTAGCTGGTATTACGGACGGACACTATGCTTGCTCCCTTCTGCCCATTTTACACTGGAGGAAAGTCAGGTCTAGCCAGAGGAAGGACTTCCCATCAAGGTGAAGTGACACAAGGACACAGGCCCCAGGGTTAGGCACTGCCCGGCACAGCAGTGCACACCTGTGGTCCCAGCACTCGGGAGGCCGAGCAGGAGGGCTGTGAGTTGAGGAGCCTGTGGGGAGATCCTGTCTCAAAAGCAAACTGCAAACGGCCGGGGTGAGGCCCTGCGGCAGGTGTGTGCTAGGCTATGCGAGGTCCTGTCTTTCCCCAGCACCAGACAAAACACACACACAGTCAGGGCTAGGAGGACACAGCCCCTCCCCTCCACCGGCCTCCCCTCAGCTCCAGACCTATAACCTGAGTCCCCACCTCTGGGTGTCAGTGGCCCCAGAGGAGAGCCAGGCCCATTTGGCAGATGGGGTAAACTGAGGCTAGGCATGGCGAACCCTTCGAGGCAGCAGGGATGAGCAGTGTAGTGGCAGCACAGCCAGATGGCGTGAACTGACTCCTTCCCTGACCTTTCTGCCTGCACTTCCTGTGACAGGGTCACCTCTCTCTGGGCATCAGGATCCCACTGCCAGTGACCCTGCACAGGACACTGTGGGTCACGGCCTAGCTGGCAAGGCTCATGGTGCATGAGGGAACAGAAGTGTCAAACGTGGCGCGTTCCAGGGAAGGCACAGGATCACAGTCCCAGCACCAGCTCAGCCCCTGGCGGCTTCCCTGCCCGCCCTGCCCAGGTCTCCTGGACACGCTGCCCCCCATGCCTGGACTGGGAGTCGGCCCCCCGGCTCTGAGCGGCACTTACGGCTGAAGGCCTCCGGATGCTGCCTGGCCAGCTTCCCTTTCAGTGTCCTGCAGAGAGGGGAAGGAAGGGACCAGGTGAGCATGGGGGCGCGGGTGCCAGGCCGGTGCTGGTTGGGGACCTGCTAGGCTGACCTCTGAGCCCAGGCTGGGCAGCATCCAGAGTGAGTGCAAGATGGGCCCCTCCTCTCCCTGACGGGCCATCTCCTTGGGCATATCCCAGGCCTCCTGCCCCTCCCGGGCGGCGTCAGCTTTGTCCGTCCATCCCTGGACTGAGGCCCCACCAGGCAGCACCTCGGGACGCAGCAGCAGAGACAGTGGGGCTGAGAATGGTCGTGCCTGTGCCTGGCGCATGGACGCTGGCACTGGTTAAAGCGGGTGAGCTGGGGTGTGTGGAGTCTGGGGTGATGGAGGGGCCTTGGCTTCCTCTTCAGTCGGCTGATCCCTGTGTTTTCCTAAAGTAACGCAGCTGCGTTTATGGACATGGGGAAGGGGTCTTTGGAGCGAGGCCTGTCACGCTGCCCCACGAGCTCCAGGCGTTCTCTCAACGTAAATGAGATGTGAGCAGCCTACGTCCTGGTTCTGCACGGCCCTGGCTGTGGCGCTGCTCCTGGTCTACCTGTCTGTGGCTGTCCTCTGGGACAACAGGAAGGCGCTGGTTGTCCCTGGCCAAGTGTGCCCGCTGTGTCACCAGCAGCAGCCGTGACGGGGAGACTTTGGGGACACCCTGCAGCGTGCGGGGTGCCAGGGAAGGACCCACAAAACTGGCACCCTCGCTTGCCTGGGTTTTTTTTTTTTTGCGGTGCTGGGGATGACCCCAGGGCCTGGCACTGCGCAGCACCCCTCATTTTCCTCTGGAGAGGCGGCCTGGGTGGGGCGCGGGGACCAGAGCACAGGGGGGTCGGCCTGCTCCTCCCTGCCTGTCCAGCGTCAGTCCAGGGCTGCGCTGCGGCGGTGGAAGGTCACGCTCCAGGTCTCCCGGGTTTCGCCCCAGAGCTCGGGTCTTGCAGGACACTTAGAACCAGCAGAATGCCTGTTGCCGTTATGCTAAGGAGAGGGAAGCTGCGGGGCGTGGAAGGCCACGCAGAGGGGAGCTCATGGGTGGGTGGGGTGGCGGAGGGGCAGTTCACAGGCGAGGGGGTGGGGCCTAAGTGGGCGTGGTCCCAGAAGAGGGCGTGGTCTGAGCGGGCATGACCCTGGGCCTGAGGGGTGGGATCCTGGAGAGGAAGTGCGTGGCCTGAGTGGCAGGGCCCTGCTCACGAGGGGCGTGGCCTCCTAGTGCTGGGGTGGTTGGGCCTGGTGGGCGGGCCTGGCGGGGGCATTCGGCGAGGGCGTGGCTAGGGGGCGTGCCTGGGTATGGGTGGTTGGGTGAGGGGGCGTGGCCTGCCTGGTGTGGGCGGGGCCTGTCTCGGGCGTGGCTTAATGGTGGGCACTGCTGGACGAGGGGCATGGTCTGGTGGCTCTGGTGGCGGGGCTTGCTGGCCCACCTGATCCTGCGGAAGATGCTGTCCAGGTCGCGCTTCATCTCCACCAGCGTGCGCGTGTGGTGCAGGAAGCGCTCGTTCATCTGCTGCAGGCGCGCGCTCGACAGGTTGTTGAAGTTGAGCAGCATCTCGTTGGTCTTCTCGAAGCGGTCCAGCCTAGGGGGGACGCGACCACCTGTCCCAGCCTCCTGACCCACCCAGGGCCACCAGGCCCTCCTGTGCTCCAGCCACCCAGCGGGCTCCTACGCAGACTTCAAAACCCTTCTCTCTCACGGACATCCCCTTATGGTTTGGCTCTGACGCGTCCCCCAAAGGCCCAGATGCCAAAGTCTGTCAGCCACCAGCCTAGGGCTAGGGAGGCAGGGCCCTGGGGACTCCCCCTCCCCTTCGCTCTCACTGCCCAACTTCCTTGGCCGCCGGCTCCACGGTGATGCCCACAGAAGGGCAGAGCCAAGGCACCGTGAAACCAACCGAGCCAAACAGACCTTTCCTCCTTTTGTCTTTGTTTTGGGAGGACTGGACGCTTGCTAGGCAGGGGCTCGAGGGCTCGAGCCATTCCTCCAGCCCCTTTCTCCTTTAACTAGACTAGCTTGGGCGTTCTGTCACCGCCGTCCCCGCGGCAGGCCGTCCCGGGCCAGCTCCTCACATGTTCTTCTGGGCCAGGATGATGGCGTTGACGTCGTCCGTGTTCACCATGCTCAAGATCCGGCTGCAGAAGACCCTCGAGGCCGAGTCCGGGGGATCCATCTCCTCTTCCTCCTCCTCCGCTGCCTGGAACAGGGTGACCACTGAGTCTGGGGGGAGCCCCCGCTCCCCTCTCGGGCTGCCCCTACAAGGACATTCCTGGCTGCCTGAGCAAGCCACCCTACCTCCAAGACTCTTCAGTGACAACCCCTGCTTGGGGCTGTTTTATTTGTTTATTTTGGTGGAAGTGACATTTGAACTCATGGCCTCCCACACCTACCATTTGATCCCCGTCTCCAACCCCTTTACTTCAGTCATTTTTGGAACAGGGTTTTAATTTACTGACCCACAGCCCTCCAACCTATGCCTCCCAGGTAGCTGGGATTACAGGTACATGCTACCATGCCCACTCATTGGTTAAGAGGGGTTGAATTTTTTGCCCTCGCTGGCCTCCAACTGTGGTCATCTGGAGCTCTGCCCTGGGGTCATGGGCATGAGCCACCTCAGCTAGTCATTTTTTTCTTTACTTTCTTTTTTAAATGACACAGGGTCTTCCCATGTAGCCCAACCTGGCCTCGAGCTCTTAAACCAGCTGCCTCTGCCTCCCAAGTTCAGAGATCACAATCGGCAGTGACCTTCACGGCAAGCTTTGGGTCCCTTCGTCTTCTTTTCACGGCTTTCTGAAGGTTCCTTAGCTACCAGTGGCCCCCACAGCAGTGTCAGCTCCAGGACAGCAGAGCCATGTGTCTCCAGCCTCCACCCAGAATCTGGCACGGGTTGGCCAGGACTTGCCCAGGACAGCGCACACACACACACACACACACAGCTTCCCAGTCTTGGCTCCCACACTGGACTCAGTAGCAGACAAAAGCCAAGAATTTCAGGCATTTGTGGCCAGGCCGTGGGTTCCAGCTTCCCAGCACACACGACAGTCCCCACCTTGAGGGGCCTTCCCACACAAGGCCAGACCCACAGCCACAGTACTGACCCTCATGGGGGCTCAGGAAAGGGCCAGAATCCTGACAGGGCTCGGCCTGGGCCCCACACTTGACGACTGACACAAAGACCAACTTTCCACTGGTTAAGATTCACGCACAGGGGCTGGAGCTCAGCAGGAGAGGACTTTCTGCCCAAAGGTTCACACCAGTCACGCCTGAGAGTCACTTAACGTGCCTTTGCATTTACAGACCATCTACTGAATCCTGAACTAAGCTGCAAGCGATGCAGCTTTGCTCCCATCCTTATTTTTAATATTTGACAGCACTGGGGTTTGAACTCAGGGCCTTATACTTGCCAGGCAGGTACATTTGAGCCACGTCCCCAACTCTTTTGGCTTTCCTTATTTTACAACTAGAGTCTGTGCTTTATGCCTGGGCCAGCCTGGGTCCCATCCTGTTATTCATGCTTCCTGCAGAGCTGATGTGACAGGCACGTACCACCACACCCTGCTTGTTACTTGAGATGGGGGCTCCCTGGCTTTTTTGCCTGGGTTGACCTCAATCCTCAATCCTCCCCATCTCCACCTCTGGAGTATGTAAGATTACAGGCAGGAGTCACCTCACCTGTAAGGTTTCATCCTTGTTTATAAACAAGAAAAATGAGGCTCAGAGATTGAGGAACTGGGCTGTGCTCACACAGCAGCAAACCTGAGCCATAGGACACAGGTTGCACAAAGTTCAGAATCCCAGCAGGGGTTCTGTGCCCCCGTGAGTACACACTTGCATTTTGTAGGAGCTGATTTGCCTCTTTTCTTTTCTTTTTTTTTGGGACAGGATCTCTGTGTGGTCAAGGCTGGTCTCTAGCTCTGGGACCCAAGGGTCCTCCCCTCAGCCTTCCAAGTCCTGCCTCCAGGCTTAAAATACTTACAGGCCTTTTTCTTTCTTTTTTGGTGCTGAGGAGGGAACCCAATACCTGTTACTCTCAGCCATACTTCTTTTTTACAAGACAAAAAATGTTAGTAGGGATGTCACCCCGTATGAAATCACCTCATCGGCAAATGATTAAAACAAATTCACTTTTTCCCTAAACAGCATAAAAGCACCCCCACAAGAGACAAGACCCTTCTCCCTCCAACCACCACTGTCTACTGAGCTCCTACTCCATGCCAGGCAAGGTCCAGTCCAGACTTCCAAGAAGCATGCTCACGTACAAACAGTAGACTTGGGCCATGGTAAATCCCAGCACTCGGGAGGCTGAGGTGGAGGACCAAGAATTCCAGGTCAGCCTACTTGCATGCAGAGATCCTGTTCCCCACCCAAGGGGAGGAAGCAGACTTGTGGCAAGTGGCCCACAGAGAGCTAATTTCCGATCTGGACCTCAAGATACGATTTTGCTTCTAAGGAGGGCTCTTTTGTGTCTCTGGCTCCCAGATGTGAGGGTTGAGAGGTTTATGGCAACCTCCCACTCCAGCTGCCTCTACCAGGAAGCCTTCCCTGACTACTAGTGTGGGCCACACACAAAGCAGAACGGATCCAGGAAAGGCTCTGCTGTGCTCCAAATACACTGATGAGTGAAAAACAGAGACAAAGGCTAGGTGACTTTGGGGCAATCACTTCACCTCTCTGAGTCAGTTTTCTCATTCAGAAAATGGGAAGAGTCAGGCGCCAGTGACTCACACCTGTAACCCAAACTGCTTAAGAGGCTGAGATCGGGAGGATGGATGTTTGAGGCCAGCCCTGGCAAATACTTCTTAAGACCTTATCTCCAAAATAACCAGAGCAAAATGAACTGCAGGAGTAGTTCAAGCAGTAGAGCAACGGCTTTGCAAGTGCAAAGCCCTGAGTTCAAATCCCAGTCCCACCAAAAACAGTTTAAAAAATTGGGAGCTGGGAGAAGGCTGTTTCTCCAACACTAGTGTGACATGGAGGGCTCGGCCTTGCATTGAACAAGCGCCACCCAGGTGCGTCCAAACCTGGGCAAAACACGTGCATTTCAATCAGAGAACCCCGGCAAGGCGGCCACTGCCACCTCCAAGCAACGGGAATGACAGGGGGCGGACCTCGTTGCCAAGGTCACAAGCAAGGTTCCGTCCACCCAGGTCCCTTAAATGAGCTGAGCTCAGGAGGTGAGAAAAAAAAAAAAAAATTAGAGAAGAAAAAAGCCGAGGGGGGGGGCGCCAAGATGCGCTTAGGCCCCGCCCCCTGCAGAGCGGGGAAACTGAGGCACAAAGCCGGGCCACACGCGCGGCTCCGAGTCAGACGACGAATTCGAAACGCGGGCGGTGCCCGACTCCCGCGCCCCGGATCCGGATTCGGGATATGGCTCGCGCTCCACTGCGCAGCTAGGGGAAACTGAGGCCTGTGAGCAGCAGGAGTGCCCAGATATGGCCAGCGGCGCGTCCCACCCCACGGCAGCCCGGGGGCCGCGCCCGACCCGGCCCGGCTCCCCCACGGTCCCAACCGCACCCCAAATCTCAGCCCCGGTGGCGTCGGGGGGGAGGGGGGCAGCAGCACCTGCACATCTGGCAGCCTTGCTCGCGCTTCCGGATGGCGCCTGCGCTGCCCGTACTCATTACGCCACGGCGCGTGCGAGCGCGCGTGACGGCAGGCGTACTCGGAGGCCGACCTGCGTGCAGGAAGGCGCGCCGGAAGGGGAGGGGATTTCCGTACTTACCAGCGCGCGGCTGCGTCACAACGCCTAGCCAATCCGATGAGTGGCTTTGGCGCATGCGCACTTCCCCAAACGCGCCGCTGGCAGCGCGCCGGAATGGAAGTCGGAAGGCTGGTCCGTTATTCAGATGGTGAAACTGAGGCTGGAGAGCTGCTGGTGACACTCCAGTGTCCCAAATGCTTGAGTGGCTTGCGGCTGGCTTTGCAGAATGTCCACCTCCGTGTGCTTGCCCCAGGTTTCCTTGTGGTTACAGCGAGGCTGTGAATGTGGGGCAGGAGCCACATTGGGTCCTGGATGACGAGGTGTCCTCCTTGCTGTTGTTGGAGGCTCTCAGTTGCAACTTCTCTGCTACAAAGTTGCTATTTTGCCCTTTGCAGTTGCAGTGTTTCTTGTGGTGAGCTACTCCCCACCTCACCCCGCCAAAAAAAGAAAACTCAGACAGTGCAAATGCTGCTTGCTTTTTTTTTTTTTTTTGGTGGGACTGGGATTTGAACTCAGGGCTTCACACTTGTAAAGCAGTCGCTCTACCACGTGAGCCACACCTCCAGTCCACTTTGCTCTGGTTATTTTGGAGATAGGGTCTCAAGAACTATTTGCCAGGGCTGACCTCGAACCCCGATCCTCCTGATCTCAGCCTCCCCTAGTAGTTGGGATTACAGGCGTGAGCTACTTACCTGCACCTGGCTCCTTTCTTTAACTACGAAGTGGTAAAAATTTGTAAGCTGCTATTCTGCAGTTCATTCGAGGATTACCAGCACTATGAACTCTCCCGGTGTTTATTTTATTCTTGGGCGATCATTACCGTGTGTTTTATTTTGCTGCTGTGTCTTTACCTGTGTCCCCCACACTTGGCTGAGTGCTTCCTTACTTTGGTCACACCGAGATTCTTTCCGTGCTGGGAAGAGCCCAGGCTCACACCCTTTCTCCAGGAGTTTGTGTTTGGCTTGAAAAGTGGCTGGTGTCCTCACTGCCTGGGGTGTCCCATCAGCTACAAAACATCCTCAGTAGCTGGGGAGGGGGTCAGTGACTTGAAAACCAATGGATCAAAGAACCCTCAGTCCCCTTTATAAAATTTGCTAGAACCAGCGGTGGGCTCACGCCTGTAATCCCAGCTACCTGGTAGGGTTGTGGCTCAAGACCAGCCTGGGAAAAACTTAGGAGACCCATCCTCAACTGATGGTGGGCGGCAAGGTGGAGTACTTCTATCATCCCAGCTATGGAGGCACAGATAGATCATGGTCCAGACCTTATCATAAATAACCAGATTGAGGGGTGGGTGGTATCGGAGGGAGAATGATGGGCGGTGAATCTCACCACATTGGAAATGACACGTATCTCCCCCACAACTATTATATGAAAAACTTAAAAACCTCTAGGAGAATGAAATGTGGGTTGAGGGCTGTCTTGGAGTGAGGAAGGTGGCAAGAGTCGTCCATCTGGATGGGGTTTTGAGAACTTAGTGAGACCCCATCCTCAACTGATGGGTGGGCAAGGTGGAGTACTTCTATCATCCCAGCTATGAGGAAGGCACAGATAGGATCATGGTCCAGACCTTATCATAAATAACCAGATTGAAGGGGTGGGTGGAGGAGGGAGAATGATGGGGGCGGTGAATCTCACCACATGTGGAAATGACACGTATCTCCCCACAACTATTATATGAAAAACTTAAAAACCTCTAGAGGAGAATGAAGTGGGGTGTGAGGGCTGTCTTGGGAGTGAGGAAGGTGGCAAGGAGTCAGTCCATCTGGATGGGTTTTGAGGTAGAATTAGGAGTTTGCTGGGATGGACACAGCAGGATGATGGGAAACGCAGGGTGCACTTGATCGAGGTCAGGATGGGGTGGGCTGTACGCCCCAACAGCAAAGGAGTCCGGGCTTAGAATCCAGTCCATTCTTGGGTCCCCTGGCTTCGCTGGACACCAGGAATGTTTATACCGCCCTGGAAGGGGAGGGGGCTGCCTGCCAACATTTTTGTACACAGTGGACTGGTGACAAGAAAATGTCTTCCTCCTTCCTGTGTTGGACGGACAGGATAGCACTAACCCCGGTGCTGTGGACACTGGGGCAGGAGGAGGCCAGCTGTGGGAGGGGAAGCCTTTCTGGGGACACTGCTTTTAGTTTCCTTTCCTACTCGGGACTCAGCAGAGCCACAGTAAACGCTTATCTGCACTGTGGCCCGTGTGACACCTATGGGGCTGCCAGTGAGACCCCATCTTTAAAAAAGACTGGGCTTTGTGGCTCGTGCCTGCAATCCTAGCTGCTTGGGAGCTGGACATAAAACAAGACCCTATCTCAACAATAGCCATTGCATAAAGGGCTAGAGAGTGGGTCAAGTGGTAGAGCGCTTGCCTTGCCAGCGTGGAGCCCTGAGTTCAAACCCCAGTGCCACCAAAACAAAAAATGAAAGAGTCAGAGCTTGGTGGTTCACGCCTGTAATCCCAGCACTTAGAAGACTGAGGCAGGGGGATGAAAATCCTGTCTCAGAAAAAAAAAAAAGAAAAGCAAAACACAATTGTGTCATGCTTCTGAGACCAAAGGAGAACCAGGACTGTGTGATCGATCTTGTCAGTGATCAAAGTCCACTCCAGGCAGAGGACAGAGATAAAGAGGGGACAACCCCGGAAGGCGTTGTCACCAGGAAAGAGTGACAATTGCAAATTCTGTGTGCAGCCATCGCTGGGCCTCATAAAGGAGACTGAACTAAGAAGTCCCAAACATTTTTATTAATATTGTTATTAGTTACTATTTTTGGTGGTGGCAGGGATGGAGCCCAGGGACTCTAGTGTGTTCTAGTACTGAGCTCCAGCTGGAGCCCACGTGCTTTTTTGTTCATTGTAGTTATTTTTTTGGGGGAGGGGGTAGGCTATGGTTCTGGGATTTGAACTCAGAACCTAAACCTTGAGCCACTCCACCAGCCCTTTTTTGTGATGGTTCTTTTCGAGACACGGTCTTACAAACTGTTTTCCTGGGCTGGCTTCCAACCACAATCCTCCCAATCTAGGCCTACTGAGTAGCTGGGATTACAGACGTGAGCTGCCAGTGCCTGGCATTGCTGATGTCTTCTCACGAAGGCCTCTTCCCTGCCTTCCTTCCATGGTGGGTTTCAGGGCCCCCACCTTCTTTTGTGCCAGGGACTGTGTGGGTTCCAGCAATGAAAAACAACAGATCCCTTCTCAGATTTGGGGACTCCCCCAGTGCCATGGCAAGTCAAGCTAAGTCAAATGAATAGCAGCCCAGGGACAAAAAAGTCAGGTGTGATGTGTGGCACAGCATGCAGGCAGGAAAACCCAAAATGGGGAGTGTGGCTTTGTCTTGGGGAGCTCAGGGCAGGCTTCCCCAGGAGGTGACTGGAGTTGTGGTCTGAGAAGCTAGTCGCCTCCAAAAACCAGCCACTTCCTGCAGTGACTACTACCTCCAAAGGCCAGGGTGCGACTCAATTCAATCAGTCAGTCAGTCTCAATTATTCATCTACTAAGACCCCACAGTTGGACACAAGACAGGCAAAACAAACAAACAAAAAAAACTCATGCCACCATGAGGGGAATGGGGGACCCCAAAACCCCAAGAAACTCAGGTCACTCTGGAAGTGGGTAACTGCAGGGAGGACATGGGGTAGTGTCTGGGAGGTGTCCCAGGTTCAAAACAAGATGCATAAAACCCCTTCTAATTCACGGTGCCACCTTCTCCGTGTCCCTTATCGAGTGTGCAGAGCGCAGGGAGGAGCTCCCCCCGCCCCCCCGACCCAGCCTGCTTAGCCATTATTGAGCGCCGCCCGTATGCACCAGGCGACCTTCCCAGAAATCGCGCGTGCTAGGTGAGGGCTGGGGTGCGTCCCCGGACACATCGCGGCCACTTCTGTCACTCCGCTTCAGGGTGGGCTATGCAGGGGTCCCAGGGCGATCATCGAGGTAGAAAATAGCATTTCATGCTGTTCTACCTGCCCCAAGCAGAGCATTCACGAATGCGGGTGCTGTTTACCCCTCCCCCCACTTCCCACATGAACAGACTCTGAGCCGTGAGTCGCCCCCAGACTGCCCAAAAAGACCCAGTCCCGAGCCCCACCACTCCCGCCCTCACCCCAACTACACCTGAGGCTTCTGCCCCTTTAAGAACGCCCCGCCGAGCCAAGCAGGAAGGGGGCGGCACCCGCGCCGGAGACGGACGTGCGTGCGAGCCAATGGACGCAGCAGTGGCGGCGACGGTGGCCAATAGCAAGGCGGAGGCGGGGCCAGGCGTCCGAGCCTGGTTCCCGAGGCGCGGCGGCCGCGGCTGGGGGCGGGGAGGGGGCGCAGGACCCCAGGCGGGGGTCCCGGAGCGGAGGCACGTGTCCCGGGGTGTCGGTGGGGGCGCTGCCTTGACCAGGGCCGGCTGGACGGTGGTGGTGGTGTGGTTGGTGGTGTGTGGTGGGGGGTGGCGGGTGAGGGCGGCGGGGCTTTGGGCGATGGGCCGGGAAGTGGGGGAGGTCGCGGGGTCCCGGGGGTGCGGAGAGGGGTTTGAGGGCGAGGCCGAGTTGGGGCGAGGGACAGGTGGCGGGGACCCCGGGTCTGTGTGTGTGTGTGTGTGGGGGGGGAACCCGTGGGTTGTGGAGATTGGGGGGAGGGGGGGTGGCCCAGGCTGGCGGCATCGAGGGGCGTTGGGGGTTGGGTGGGGGTCACCCCTGGGGTCGGGGGTCGCCGTGGGGTCGCAGGTGGCGTCTGGGGACACGGGCTGTTTACGGGGGATGGCGGCGTGCGGAGCCGGCCTGCCCGGTGGTGGGGGGGGTGGGGGCGGCGCGCGCGGTGCATTGTGGGTGGGGGCTGCGGTGGGGGGGAGGAGGGATGGAGGGAGGTGGCGGGGGTCTCAGGCCCACTCCGGACCCGGAAGTAGCCTGGCAGGTGCAGGTTAGGCCTCTGGATATTGGGGCTCAAGCTGATGTCTGTGTGTCCCTCCCCCACCCGCCTTTGGGGTCTGGGACACAGGGAAAGGTTGCCTGGCATGGGTTTGGGGGGGGTCACACACCCAGATTGACTTTGGACCTGGATATTAGGCCCACAGCCAGGAGGATTCTGCTCCGTGCTTGGGTGTGTGGGGGGGGCGGGGTAACTCTGCAGAGCAGTCTGAAGCTTTAAAAATGGCTTTCCTAACGCTTTAGGGGACTCTGCCTCCCCACCCCCAAAAATAAAAATAATCTTAGCAACCCCTATCTTGCCATTTTATCAGATAAAGCCTCAGGTTTTAGCTTCTACTGCGGGCCTGCTGTGTGACCTTGGGCAAGTGGCTCTGCCCCTCTGGACTTCAGTTTGCTTTTATGCAGAATTCAAGGGGAGTTTCCTGCTTCCCGGGCTGTTGATAAAGACTGAGTAATAATTAGCTAGAATAACAGTGCGTGAAGCTCGTGGCTGGGTGCGTGGCTGTTGTCATGCTCCCGTAGGCACGAGGAAACTGAGTCACGCAGCAAGCCATCAGTGGGGCAGGGAATTTGAGGGGTGGGCAAGGTGGGATTCTTACCCTGTCTGTGTGTCTTTCCCCCACTGTTAGTTCCCGTCCCCAGCAGCATGGCGTCCTTGGCCGAGCCCTCTGAGCCTGCTGCCCCTCCACCTGCTGGAGTCCCACCACTGGAGCATTTCGAGGTGCTGGATGGCATTCAAGACGCAGAGGGGGAGGAGGAGGAGGAGGAAGAGGAGGAGGACTTGAGCAAGCTCCCACCATTGGAGGACATGGGACAGCCGTCAGTGGAGGAGGCCGAGCAGCCTGGTGCCCTGGCCCGAGAGTTCCTGGCAGCCATGGAGCCTGAGCCCGCCCCGGCCCCGGCTCCAGAAGAGTGGCTGGACATCCTGGGTAAGCAAGGGTGGCTGGGGACAGGCGCAACCTTGGCCTCAAGCCTCGTTTCTGCAAGAGGGCAGCTATGTTTGCACGAACGCTGGAGACGCTGTGGTTGTGTGCTCCCGTCGCTGTCTCACACACTGGGTGCTGTGGCTCCCTTCCCCAGGACTGTGGACAGCAGCCCAGAGAGGCTGAGTCACCTGCCCAGAGCCACACAGCCAGCATGCCCAGTGCCAGTGGCTCCCAGACAGCCCCCACGGCATCTCTTCTGGGCATCTGTCTCGAGGGGTGGGGGGGTCCCCTGAAAACTGCATCTTGAGGGGCCGTAGGTCAGGAAAGTATCCTGTTGGCTGGTCCCTATGGCTGCTTCACAGGACTCATTTTCACCCCTTTCTGTTTTGTTCTATTTCTTTGTTATTTGGAGAACAGAGTCTTGAGTCTTGTTATTTAGTCCTGGTTGGCCTTGAATTCACTGTATAGCTCAGGCTCGTCTTGAACTCAAAATCTTCGTGCCTCAGCCTCTCAAGTGCTGGGACCACAGGCCTGTGCCACCCCATCTGATGGCACATTGTTATGCCTCAAATGCATTGTAACTGTGAGGGTTTTTTGGTTTGGGCTTTTTTTTTTTTTTTGGTACTGGATGGAAGCTGGGACAGCCTGCCATGTTCGTTCTAAATGCTCAGGGGAGTCCTGTAAGGGAGGAAATTTACACTTAACCCCGGTGTCCTGTCACAGCACTTCTGAAGCACTGGCATCCTGTGGAATGTGTCCCAGGGCTCCTGATGCAAGTACACTTAAGTAACACTGGTGCCCACAGTCCTAGCAGTGCTGTGCCAGTAGTGTCAGGTGACAAAATTGTCATTACTCATGTCAGCACCACTACTAATAAAAATGTCACTCCTAAGCCGGACGCTGGTGGCTCACGCCTGTAATCCCAGCTACTCAGGAGGCAGAAATCAGGAGGACCAGGGTTCGAGGTCAGCCTGGACAAATACTTCTTGAGACCCTATCTCAGAAAAACCCACCACACGAAAAGGTCTGGTGGAGTGGCTCAAGTGATAGAGCACCTGACTAGCAGCGTGAGGGCCTGAGTTTAAACCCCGGTGCCATCAAAAAGAAAAAAAAAAAAAAAAGTTACTTTTAGCCTGGCTTAGTGACACACACTTGTGATCCCAGATCCTGGGTCTGGAGGCAGGAGCAGGACGGCAGCAAGTTACAGGCACACTTGGATGGCAGAGTCTGACCCTGTCTCAAAGAACCAAAACCAGCTGAGCACGTGGCTCAGGCCTGTAATCCTAGCTATTTGGGAGACAGTTCAAAGCCAGCTGGGGCAAATACTTTCTGACACCCCCATGTCAGCCACTGCAAACAAATGACAACAGAAAACCCCCAGAAAATGAAACTCCAGGTCACACTTGCTGATGGGGAGACTGAGGCTCAGAGAGGCAGAAGCGCTTGCTGGAAGTCACACAGCTTCTTGACTGGTAGAGGTTTTTACTGATAGAGTGAGAGCTGCTGGGGGAAGTTGGACAGACGATTGGGCAGATCTACAATATTCTAGAATAAGCGTGGCTATGTTTGTGTCTCCAGCCTGAGGCCAGGGTGCAGTCAGACTTGAGGACCCTGTAGGCCAGTGCGCTGTCCCTGTGTTGGGATAGGGAACATGGCCCTGTCCACCTGAAAGCAATGCTGGCTCCTGGAGCACTGGTGAACTGTTTGCCGGGGCTGGCCTCCAACCTCGATCCTCCTGGTGTCTGCCTCCTGAGTAGCTGGGATCACAGGTGTGAGCCACTGGTGTCCGGCTGTTGAGCCTTAGTTTTATCAGGACAAGAAGGAGACCTGCTGTCATTCACTGAGTGGGTCCCCGGTGTCTCCTCCCCTATGTCTGTCAGTGGGGCTCAGCGGTGAGCGCTTGCCTGGCTGTCCCTGACACCAGAGAAAACACATGTACCCGTGGTGCGGTGTCCCTTAGTGTGGGGGCCAGCGGAGGCTTAGCCCCAGGACAGGACGTGGGCAGAGCGGCCGGGGAGCCGGTTCCCTGTGTGAGCAGCTGGGTGACGCTCCGTATCCCGGCCCCTGACAGGGAATGGGTTGCTGAGGAAGAAGACGCTGGTCCCGGGTCCACCAGGCTCGGGCCGACCGGCCAAGGGCCAGGTGGTCACCGTGCGGCTGCAGATGTCCCTGGAGAACGGCACACGTGTGCAGGAGGAGCCTGAGCTGGCCTTCACGCTGGGGGACTGCGACGTCATCCAGGCTCTGGACCTCAGCGTCCCCCTCATGGACGTGGGTGAGACGGCCATGGTCACTGCTGACTCCAAGTACTGCTACGGCCCCCAGGGCAGCCGGAGCCCCTACATCCCCCCGCACGCCGCCCTGTGCCTGGAGGTGACCCTCAAGACGGCCGTGGACGGGCCCGACCTGGAGATGCTGACCGGCCAGGAGCGCGTGGCCCTGGCCAACCGGAAGCGCGAGTGCGGCAACGCCCACTACCAGCGGGCGGACTTCGTGCTGGCCGCCAACTCCTACGATCTGGCCATCAAGGCCATCACCTCCAGCGCCAAAGGTGACCCGCCGCCCCGCCCCTCCCCTCCCCGGGTCCCGAGGTCCCCCACCCCCGGGCGGCGGGCAGGTCAGGTGTTCCCAGGACGGGGGACGGCGGCCCGGCCCGTGCTGACCGCTGTCCCCGCAGTGGACGTGAGCTGCGAGGAGGAGGAGCAGCTGCTGCAGCTGAAGGTGAAGTGTCTGAACAACCTGGCGCCTCGCAGCTGAAGCTGGACCACTACCGCGCGGCCCTGCGCTCCTGCAGCCTGGTGCTGCAGCACCAGCCCGACAACGTCAAGGCGCTGTTCCGCAAGGGCAAGGTGAGCCCGCCCCTGCCGCAGGCCCCGCCCACTTCTGCCGGCCCCGCCCACCTCCCCCGCTCTGTGCCCCGCGGCCAGGTCCCAGCGCTGCTCGACCCTCCCCGGTGGCGGCCACCCACCGCCTTCGTGGGAGACGCTGAGTCCAGGCTGTGGCCTGTGGAGGGTCTGGAATCACGTGCCTGCCACCAGTCCTCCCCGCCCCGGGGCCTTTGCACAGCCTATGACCCCCACTCGAGGTGCTCGTTCTTATTCCAGTGACCTGTGTGGCGTCACCTGAGCCTTGTTTGGGTGGCTTTCGTTTGGTTTTGGTTTGTCCTCGCAGTCCAGGCTGTGCGGGAGCCCGTGGTCCTCCTGCCTCTCCCCCCTTGTTTTGTTTTCTCGGTGCCCTGGCTTTCCTGGTCCGAGGGAGTGCTGCCGCGGTTTCTGACTCAGCCCTGAGACGCCCACGCTGTCTGCTGGGCTGTTGAGGGGCCTGAGCGAGATCTCCCTCCAGCCAGCACTTACTAGGCACCTCTGTGTGCACAGGTGCAGGATGGAGGCACGTGACCGGCTAGTTTTTGAGGGTTTGTCTTTCCTTTGGGAGCTCTGGGGAGCAGTGGGGCCTCTGCTGGCTGAAGGTGACCAAAACCCCCTTGAATAGGTTCCGGTAGAGAGACTATTGTTCACGGGGCACCTTCAGGCACGGCTGGATCCAGGCTCACCACTCAGGCCCTCCCGCCCCATGAAGGCTCCAGCCTGCCATCTTTCTTCCCTTCATCCCCGGCCCCATGTGCAGCTCAGTGGGGCTGGATGGACTTGGCCTCTCACAGTGGCCAGCTTTGGAAATGCCCTGGGACTGTGGCAAGGCAAGGCGGGCGTGTGGTCAGCTTCCTGGGCTGAGTCAGGCCTGGCCCCGGGGTAGATGGGGTTTTTCGCGGGGCTGCAGGACGGTCGTGTCCCCTCCCCGCACAGGTGCTGGCGCAGCAGGGCGAGTACAGCGAGGCCATCCCCATCCTGCGGGCCGCCTTGAAGCTGGAGCCTTCCAACAAGGTAAGGGACGGCCTGCTTTTCCCACCTGGGGGTCGGGGGCAGGCAGCCCTGCTGTGCCGCGAAAAGCCCCACGGCCGTTGCCCGTGTCGTCTTGGCCACCTGTGCACTGCGCCCTGTCCACCCGAGGGAGGTGGGATGGCGCAGCCGGCACCGCCCTGCTCACCGCCCCCGCGTGTCCCGCAGACGATCCACGCCGAGCTGTCCAAGCTGGTGAAGAAGCACGCAGCCCAGCGCAGCACCGAGACCGCCCTGTACCGCAAGATGCTCGGCAACCCCAGCCGGCTGCCTGCCAAGTGCCCGGGCAAGGGCGCCTGGGTGAGCGGGGCGGGGGCGCGACACGCACACGACCATCGAGTGCCGCCGGTGCGGGAGGGAGGAGGGCTTTGCTGCGTGCGTAGGTGTTTGTTGGGAGGTGGGAAAAGCTCAGTGAGGCACGTGGACGGGATGTGGGAGCTGTGAGTGGACCATGGCGGGCGCTCAGGTCCCTGAGGCCAGACTTGACCACCGTCTCTCCTCTGTCCACAGTCTGTCCCGTGGAAGTGGCTGTTTGGGGCGACCGCCGTGGCCCTGGGGGGCGTGGCTCTCTCTGTGGTTATCGCGGCCAGGAACTGACCGCCCCCTCGCTCACCATGGCCCCCGCCCCGCACTCCCCGACTCCCCCAGGCCTCCTGTCCACGTCCTCCCTGGCCTCGTCCCCCCTGGGTTGGGGGCAGCGAGGATGGACCCGAGCGGCCAGAGAGCAGGAGGGACTGAGGCCCGCAGGCGAAGGCGAGGTCGGTGGAGGGAGGGCCTCGCCCCGCAGACCCAGTGCTCCCCCCGCCCCTGCCGTCTCCAGGTCTCCAGGCCTCAGTTTCTCCTCAGCAGACTGGGGCAACCCTGCCCCGCCCACCCCCGTGTTGCTGCTGCCCTCTGTCCAGGTCCCCACGTGAAATAAAGCCCCCACCTGCACTGGCGCCAAGCCTCCTTCCACGGGACACAGCACTGGGCAGGGGTGGGTCCACGGGAGGGGTGATGAGGGGACGGGGATGGATGTGGCTGAAGAGCCACGCAGAGCTCTTTGCTCTCACCTCTCCCCTCCCTGGACTCTGGGCCCCGCAGGTCCTGACCCAGGCTGCTGGTGTCTTCTGTGCTGTCACCCCCGTGTAGCAGGTGTGTGCTCCATGGTGAGCGCTCTGCTCCGGACCTGGTTCTGTGCCCAGTAATGGAAAACATACAGAAACAAAAGATGACTCGGGGAGACCCGAGCACCCAAATGGGGTCCCAGGCGTGGGTGGGCTCAGGCCGACCTCTCGTGATGCGATGCTGTGCACAGAGAATGTGGTGACAGCAGGTCTGCAGCTGAGCCAGCTGGCAGCTGTGCAAAGGCCCTGGGGCAGCATGGAGCCTGGTGTTGGAGGTGACTGAGGGGAGGGTCACAGCTGGGCCCTGTGGGCTGTGGGCTTCCGGAACCTGGAGACCCCTGACCTTGGCTGGCCATCCCTGCAACCTGGGGCCGCAGAGTCATCTTCCATGAATCCTGCCTGTGGCTGCATCCAGGCCCTGCTTGGCTGCCTGGGTGGCTCCTGGGTCACAAGAGGCCGGTTGTGGTCACTTCTGCAGGCTCAGCCCTGTCCTCAGCCAGGATGTGGCTGGCTTTCCATCTTCCTTCCTCGGTCTCCCGAGCAGCTGGGACAACAGGCGTCACCACGGGCCTGGGCAGTGACAGTTGTTACCGTTGTGTTTCCCAGGAGGCCACGGGTGCAGAGAGGGTCCCGGCTGTCCCCACACACACAGCATGCCGGGCGGTGGTTCCTCCCTGTTCACCACTCAGCAGCCTGGCTGCCTGCACTTCCAAAGCCAGGCTGTGGCCCTTCCCTGTCCCCAAGGACCGTCCCTGTCCTGTGACCCGGGCACCATGGCCTGCAAGCTTTCCTTTACCTGGGCTGGCCTTTCAGGTAGACAGCTGTGCACAGTGGGCCGAGTGGTCAGGGTGTCTGAGCCAGCGTCGTTCTTTGATGGCAGGGGAAGTACAATGTGGAAGTCCTAACCCTAACCCCAGCCCTGCAGGCACCTTACTTTTTTTAAATTATTTTTTGTGGCACTGGGATTTGAACTCTGGGCCTACACCTTCAGTCACTCTGCTAACCCTTTTCTGTGATATTTTTTTTTTTTTGTGATACGGTCTCTTGACCTATTTGCCCAGGCTGGCTTCAAACCTCCATCCTCCTGATCTCTGCTGCCTGAGTAGCTGGGATTATAGGTGTGAGACAGCGACCCTGGGCAAGTTGATGTATTTTGAGATGGGGTTGCGCTGTGCTGCCCAGACCGGCTGCAAGCTTGAGGACTCCAGTGATCCTGAGTCACATTCCATGAACCTTCAGTGCCTGGTACAGTGTAAACGCTGCGTGCACAGGTGGCCTGTGTTTATGCGGTCAGGAGCTTTTAGGAGTGGTTTTGATCTGTGCCCTGCTGGATCTGAGGCCAGCAGAGGCTGTGCATGGCTGACCATGTGTCCATGGACGTGGTCCGGAGGCGGGCGGTGGGTAAACCAGTTGGGCTCTGCTCACATCCCACCCTCTCCACGGCCTGGCCCTCCCCACCAGCCTCCCGGCCTCCACTTGTGAAGCAGATATGAGTGACGGGTGCCAAAAAAGGTTACTTGGACTCTGGCATTGCCTGATGGTCTTGGTGTGGCCTGCCGTGGAGGACAGGAGGGACCGTCAGGGAGGACCCAGCCCTTGAAACATCACCAAAACAAAACAAAACTTTATCCTTTGGCTACCACCATCTGTGTGAGCTGGTCTCTGGATCCAAGTATCCATAAACACATAGCCAGGGATGTGGACAGAGCAGGGCCAGTTCCTGGAAGGGGTTCAGCAGAGGGTTACAGAACCTGAATGGACCCAAGTCCCACAACGGATGGATCAATGGGTAAGGTCCACACCGCGGAATATTACTCAGTCGTGAAAAGGGAGTGAAAGCACTTTACGTACTATGAGACTGATGACAACATAATGAAAGCAGCCAGACCCCAAAGGGCACATGCTGTCTGCCCCTGTTGATGGGGAAATGTCCACAAAGGGACAATCGTTGAAGGGTGAAAACAGACCAGTGGATGCCAGGTGCGGGAGCCAGACAGGCGAGGTTGCACAACCCTGCGGCTGGGCTCACTGCGTACATGTTAAATGCATGACGTTACGAAATAGAACAAAACAAGAGTCATTTTTAGCAAAATGGGGCTTGGCTCCATCGTCATCCAGGGCTTTTGGGCGTGTGGGAATTTGATCTTCCTTAAAGCCCTAAGAAAAGTTCATGGGACTCAGCCTACTCCCCATCACTTCAGCGGCCCGGGGACAGGAAAAAAAAAAAAAAAAAATCCCATCGGCCCACCTTAAGGGAAGTCCCAGCATGCAACGCGCGCTTAGTTTGCGTAACCCCGCCCACAAACCCTAAATCCTCCCGTCGGCCCCGCCTCCCACGTGTTTGGAGCCGGCCCCGCCCCCTCCACACTCCCGGCTGCGGCTCCCCACAGACGCCAAAGACGGAAGGCCCAGAAAAGAGCTCATAAATAATGCATTACGTCAGCAGCCGGCGGGGCGGGGCCTAGGCCCGCCTACTTGAGACAGGGTCATGAATAATGCTTATAGAGGCGTGGCCTAGACGGGGTGCGCGTGTCGAGGCGGAGCTCGTGCTCGGAAGTGGTCTCCTCTGGGCCTGGGGAGGTGGAGCTATCAGTATCTTATGAATATGCAAAATAGTGGGGCGGAGAGGACGACGGTCGCCGGTTACGCAGTGGGCGTGGCCATCTCGACCTCATGAATAATGCAGCGCGTCGGCGAGCCGGGCGCCGGCGACTGTTGGCTGCGTGCGGGCTGGGGGGGGCGTGGCCATCCGTACCTCATGAATGATGCATGGCGTCAGCGGGCGGCGGGGCGGGGCGTGGCCGGGGCGCCGGCGCTGGAGTCGGGAAGGGGGGGGCGGGGGAGCGATGCTCGCAAGATGGCGGCGCTGAAGGAGGCTCGGAGCTACGGGCTGTCGTGCGGGCGGGTGAGCGACGGCAGCAAGGTGTCCGTGTTCCACGTGAAGCTCACCGACAGTGCCCTGAAGGCCTTCGAGAGCTACCGGGCTGACCAGGTGAGCAGTGCGGGGTCCGGGTTGGGCGTCCGGGGGCTTCGAGGCGCGGGGCCGACCTCGCGCGTCCCTGGCCGGGGGTCGGCGTGGGGGGTGGGGGGCGGGGTCCAGGTGACACTGAGGACTGGGGGACACCGGTGTGTGTGTGTGTGTGTGTGTGTAGTTGGGGGGACCTTGGTCTCCCCCGATTTTTTATGGGGGGGCACCTGTGGGGGTCACTGAGACCCCCTTGATTCTTGGGGCCAAAGTGACACCTGACCCCCAGGTCCCCACACCCTAGGGAACCCTGTATCTCCTTGGACACCTTTGGCGAGTTTTTTTTTTTTTATGGGGGGGGCTGTGATGTTTTCCTATAGCGATCTGGTCCTTTCTGGGCACCTGTGGTCCCTGTCACACCTGGTCATCGTCCCCCGCCTTGGCGTCCATCTGGGGAAGTTTGAGGCTTCTCTGATCTGCCACTTGGTTGGGGTGGGGTGGAGGTGAGGAGCCAGCTGGACTTCCTCCACCATCCAGTTCTGGGGCCTGACTTTTTTTTGGGAGTGGGGGGACACAGAGATCCCAAATCTGCGTCTTCCCATTTGGGACCGTGTCATGGCACTCACCTCCCTCTCCTTTCCCAGGTGGGCTGGCGGTGGGGACCTCGGGAAGTGGCTCCGTGGCTTCTTTTCCTGGAGATTTTGGGGGGCTTTGTGGGTCATCACGGGGCAGGAGGTGTTGTATGTTAAGTGTGCCTGGCTGGAGGGGGGGGCGGGTGAGCGAGCGAGCGAAGGAGCGAGCGAGGGGAGACTAACTAGGAAGGAATGCGGCTCTCTTCCTGCCCTGGACTTGCTGGGTCGGCCCTATTAGCTGCTGGGCAGGGAGTTCGTACCCTATTCTTGCTCCCAGTGCCTCCGCTGCCTGGGGTGCCCCACCCCCTGTCCCTCACTTCTTCCCATTTCTTTGGGTGACTTCCTGCCCATCCTGGTGGCTGTTTTCCTCTTCTTGAATCAGGATGGGAATTTTTTTTCTTTTTTTTGGAAAAGGAGTTCTTGACTTGTCAAAAAGCTTCCCCGAGTGAGGCTAAAGCGCCCCTGGAGGTGAGGAGGAGAAGGTGGCGGGCGGTGGCCCGGCAGGGTGACACCCCGGCCTGAGTGATCAACGACACTTCCTGGTGGAATTGCAGCCGGACTGTTTTCCCCGGGCGATTCCGACTCGTCCTGCAGGAAGACGGACTTTCCCAGCCCAGCTGGGGCTGTGGCCTGAGTCACGTCAAAGAGGTGGACTTGCTACCTGGTGGCATGGCCCCGCCCTGCCCCCCCCCCATGAGGAAGGCCAGCCTGCGTCCCCCTTGCGCCGTCACGCGGCTGTGTTTAATTTCGGGTGTGGGTTATGTCCCCTCGCTAAGCTGGCTCTTCCTTGTGGGAGGGTGAAGGTAGCAGGGGGCCTCTGAGCCTGTCCCCTGGAGCCAGCCAGGCGGGGTCCCCTCCAAGAACTTCCCCGAGCCAGCCCGTAAGGCTTAGGTGGCTGGAGTGAGGTTTGAGGCCAGTCACACTTTTTTCTTTCTGGCAGGTGACTCAAGTGGCAACCGGCAGCTTTCTTATCTAACCCTGTTCACGGGGCACTGGAGGGGGGTCAGCTAACAGCTGGGTGGCTTGGGGCGCCGGTGGCACCAGGGACTGGAAGTGCTGCTACTTGGCCTGCTTTTGCGTGGTGGGCATGCGGAGGCCACTTGGAGAGCTGGCATAGCCAGGCACGGGTACCAAAACCTCGCTGCCCAGCTCTGCCAGCAGGGTCCAGTCTGCAGGCCCTGGGTTTCACGCTGCCCCCCGTGGGCAGGGTTAGTTCTGCTTTTTTTGTTTGCGGGCTGGGGATGATGAAGCTAGGGCCTCACATGCGAGGCCAGCGCTCACCACTGAGCTGCAGCCAGCCCCTCGGGTTCGCTTTTGAGTTGAGAAGGGGTCTTTATTGATGAAGCAGATGGGAGGCTGGAGCCGCCAGGGTTTCTCTCCTCACGGGGTTGGCCAGGAAGAGGTGACAGAGCAGTATGGGTGGCTCAGCTACTCACGGCCCCCCTGCACGTGCAGCGTCTGCACATTTCTCTCCAGATACAAAACCTTGAGGCCGGGCACTGTGGCCAGGCCTGGGGTCCCTGTCCCCGGGAGCCAGAGGCAAGGGGGACTGAGAGTCCCAGTCTCAGAACAAACGCAAGCCCCCAAACGCCGTGCTTTTGAGGCTGTCGTCCTCTGCCTTGCCTTTTTGGCTCTGCTGGATGGGTGATTTCCATGAGGGAGGAGAGGAAGCATGAAAACAGCTCATCCTTCCAGGACAGTGTCGCTCTTGCTGGGAGAAGTGTCCCCTGACTGCTGAGGAAATGGCCCCCTGGGGACCTGTGGCTACCCCCTGGTTGCATTTCATCACTGGGGATTTAGCAGGCCCTGTAGCTGGTGGCACACCCTGCTCTTGGAGGAGAGGGGCGTCTTGTTCTGGACAAATTGAGGTGCAGCCTGTCTCGGTCTGCACCTGGCTCGTGTCACCAGCAAGTATTCTAGAATCATCAGTGAAAGGGGAGGGTGGCACAGAACAGCAGCACAGACTTTTTGGCAGTTGGTGTTAGGAAGCAGGTGACATGGTGGCAACAGCCAGGAGGACACAGGTCCCTGTCCTCCTAGGACAGGGCACAGAGCTGAGGTGGCCAGGCATAGGTATAGTGACAGGGCAGGCCATGGCTAGGTAAAGGTGTTGGGACCCTGTGGGCCGCTGTCCAGATGTGCAGGAGTGCTGGACCCTGAGGCCGCAGCCAGGGCTGGCACCTGCGGTGGGTGCCCAGAGCTGCGTCTGGGCAGACCGTGTGGCCATGAACCCAGGCACTGTGGCAGGAGACTTAATTTAGCCTGTTCCCTCCCACGGCAAGGCCGGCTCGGTGTTGGTGTCCCTTCCTGGGAGTGCCCTGCTGTCTGGTCCTGAGCCTGGTAGCTCCTTCAGGCTCTGCTGGTGCCCACCCTGCTGGCCTCCTGGTGCGTGGCCAGTCCTGGGGGCACTCCCTGGTGCCTGGCACCCTGCCAGCCTGGGGCAGCTAGCGGTGGCTCCCTCTTCACCCAAGAGACTTGTCCTCTGCCTGAGGGTACTCCGCTGCCCTCTCTGTCATAGGCTGCCCAAGCCCCAGTCTTGCTTGTTGGGGGGAATGGCTCAAGCCTTGGGGTTCAGCTCTGGGGGGAGCCCCACTGTGGGCCTGAGTGCTAATTCAGCAGCGGCATTCGTGGGTGACATGGGTGGCCGTGGCTGTGTCTGGGCCACACCTCCTGAAAGAGCTGTGCTCAGGCAGCACGTCCACCCTTCTGTGCTGTGCTGCTGGGTCACACCGAGTCACTCTGTCTGGTCCCCAGCCCACGGGGTGGGGCTGTCATTTCCCAGGTGGGTTAGGGTGGTGGCTCTGCAGGCCAGGTCACCGCACTGGCCCTCCCAGCTGGGAGCAGCTGAGAAGCCAGGCCCCTTGGGCAGTGGCTGGGCCACATCTGGAGGGCCAGGAACGGCAGGCTGGCCCAGGGCATTGGGGGTCTGCTGTGTGTGTGTAGCAGGACGCTCCTCCAGTCAGGGAGTCCCCAGGGACACTGGAGGAGAACAGAGCTGCCCTGAGGATGTGACTGTGTGTATGTGGACGGCAGGCAGCTGTGGAAGCCCGTCCTCCCTTCCTCCCTCCCTTGTTGACTCACCGGGAGGCCAGAGTTCATCACGCTCCAAGCAGTCTTGACATCATACCAGGATTGTGACATCGCTGCCCGGAGCCCTGGCCACCCTGGAAAACAAGCGCACTGGCTCCACCCCGAGCTGCACATCCCAGGGCTGGGAGTGGCAGACGTGCAGGGACCCCTGGCCACAGTCCAGGCCTCGTGGCCCAGGGTGATGGCTCAAGCCACACTCTGCTCAGGCTAAGCTTCTGCCCTCGGCCTCTGAGACTCCTTTGCCCTTGCTCTGAGATGCACGGGCGGGTCAGAAATTCCCCTCTGCAGTCACATGCAGGGCCTGAGGGGCACTGAGAACTGTGCCCCTGTGACCTTTGCCCTCTGCCAGTGAGCGGCTGGCAGCTATGCCAGATGGATATTTTGTCACTTTTTAATTGAAAAAATTCAAACCTGGTGTCCACGTCACCCCTCCAGAAGGGACCGTCCCCTCAGTGCCCTAGAGACCCTTCTTTGCTTGAGGAGGCCGCCCCCAACCTCGTGCTGACCATGTCCTTCTGGGCTGGACACCACCTTCTGGCCAAGAAATCTAGGCCTGGGGCCTGCGACTTGGCCAGTCCCTCCACAGGGACAGGTAGGACGCTGAGTCCCAGTGAGCCGGCGGGGTCAGCAGCCATTTAAAAGGCACACACAGTGCGCGTTTCCTCCCCGAGGTCGGGCGATCCAGCTCGGCACAGAGAATGCTTCCGGCACCGTGTTGGCCCTGTCCCCTGGCTGTGTCCCTGTGGTTGTTACGATGGCCTGGCTGCTCACGTGACCGTGTGTCTCCTCTCTCTCTGGTTCTAGATAAGCCTGCTTTATTGTTGCCATAAACTTTCGCTCTGTGTGTGCTGGGATGGAGCGGCCTGCCCAGCCGGACCTGACTGTGCGGAGCCCAGGGTGTCAGGCAGGCTGCGCCCGGCGGCCACGGCAGCTTGTGGCGCTTTGCTCCTTAGTGGCTGCTTGTCGCATGCAGCACAGACCCTGAGAGGCCACCATGCGCCGCTCACTGGGGTCCTGGCTGCTGCGAGCCTGTGTGCTGTCCCCTGCTGTCCTGAGGCCCGCAGGCCCTGTGAGGGACCCCAGGGAGGGCCATGAGGGCAAAGGTCCACACGCCTGTCACCCTTGTGTGGCTCGGCATTTGGTGCCAGGCTTGGTCTGGCTTTATGGGGTCAGGGAGCCGGGTGGAGGCAGGAAGATGCAGAGGCTCTGAAGGTCTGAGCTAGCATGTGCCTGGGGCTGGCAAGGGGACAAGTGGCTGGAGAAGGTGGACGTTTCTCTCGCCTTTTTTTTTTTTTCTTGGCGGTA